TCGTCATCCCACGGTTGTTTTCAAAGGTTGAACACATTGAGATCCATTGTCATGTTTCCAAATGCAAGCTTCATTAGACTAATCCTGCAATTTATCACATCGTAAGAAGTAGGAAGGAAAGGCCTACCTAATATGTCAGGAATATGTGAATTAAGATTAGCAATGTGGTGAGTATCAAGCACAATAAAATGAACAGGGAAATAAAATTTGTTCACTTAGACCAAAACACCCTCAATTACTCCCCTCGGTGTTCTCACGCTTCAATCCGCTAGTTGAAGAGTGATAGGGGTTGGCTTCAACTCCTTAAGCTGTAGTTGTTAATACTCCGAGAAGGGTATGAGGTTGACACTTGCCCCCAAGTCTAGCTATGCGTGTTTCACACGGCAATTCCCAATGGTTATAGCAATGGTGGGGCTGCCGGTATCCTTGAAGTTGGGTAGGGTGTTTGTGTTCAAGATGGAGCTCAATTGCTGGTTGAAGAATGCCTTCCTGTGCACATTCAACTTCCTTTTCACGGTACACAAATTCTTCAATATTTTTACACGAGGGGATTTGCTTGATAGCATGAAGAAGATATTTTTTAAAAAAGTAGAATACGGATACGTTGGAGACATGTTGAATAGATACATGTATATAATTATATATGACTATTAGTTCATAAATTTGACCCAATGCATATTTTTATATGGCCTTGGTTTGCAAATTCAACCTTATATATATTTTAGCCCAAGTAAATGAATAAATTTGGCATCAAATATTTATGATTGCAGCCAAATTATGGCCCAATTTTAATTCACCCATCAATTCAATTGGACCAAACAATGGCCCATAACCCAGATCCTTTTTTAAGTTGACACCCGGAATGAAGAAGTTGTATGTTTTCTGTTAACCGCGGGCCCATTTGATCTTCTTAAGTGGGTAAGTAGATAAGGAGAAATCTAGGAGAAGCAATCATGGAATGCCATGTAGCAAGGATTTAGTTCAAGCAACACAAAAAGGGGAAATATCAGTTGGTCAAGTGAAGTTCATCTTCTCTCTCTTACACACGCACAAATCTCTCTATAAAAACATCTTCTGCATCTCTCTCGTCTACAAATATGGCAACTGATCCTCTCTGTACATCATGTCTGGCCAAATTGCCGAGGCTCAATGGCTTGGACTTAATCTTTTCCATCGGCTTCGTTATTGTTGCTGTCAATTGTTCTATGCCTTCATTGGCCCCATCAGTAAACTAACAAACATGTGTAAGTTACTTTGAAAACGTATCCGGATGTGACCCAATGTATCTAGGATGTGTCTNTAATCCTGCAATTTATCACATCGTAAGAAGTAGGAAGGAAAGGCCTACCTAATATGTCAGGAATATGTGAATTAAGATTAGCAATGTGGTGAGTATCAAGCACAATAAAATGAACAGGGAAATAAAATTTGTTCACTTAGACCAAAACACCCTCAATTACTCCCCTCGGTGTTCTCACGCTTCAATCCGCTAGTTGAAGAGTGATAGGGGTTGGCTTCAACTCCTTAAGCTGTAGTTGTTAATACTCCGAGAAGGGTATGAGGTTGACACTTGCCCCCAAGTCTAGCTATGCGTGTTTCACACGGCAATTCCCAATGGTTATAGCAATGGTGGGGCTGCCGGTATCCTTGAAGTTGGGTAGGGTGTTTGTGTTCAAGATGGAGCTCAATTGCTGGTTGAAGAATGCCTTCCTGTGCACATTCAACTTCCTTTTCACGGTACACAAATTCTTCAATATTTTTACACGAGGGGATTTGCTTGATAGCATGAAGAAGATATTTTTTAAAAAAGTAGAATACGGATACGTTGGAGACATGTTGAATAGATACATGTATATAATTATATATGACTATTAGTTCATAAATTTGACCCAATGCATATTTTTATATGGCCTTGGTTTGCAAATTCAACCTTATATATATTTTAGCCCAAGTAAATGAATAAATTTGGCATCAAATATTTATGATTGCAGCCAAATTATGGCCCAATTTTAATTCACCCATCAATTCAATTGGACCAAACAATGGCCCATAACCCAGATCCTTTTTTAAGTTGACACCCGGAATGAAGAAGTTGTATGTTTTCTGTTAACCACGGGCCCATTTGATCTTCTTAAGTGGGTAAGTAGATAAGGAGAAATCTAGGAGAAGCAATCATGGAATGCCATGTAGCAAGGATTTAGTTCAAGCAACACAAAAAGGGGAAATATCAGTTGGTCAAGTGAAGTTCATCTTCTCTCTCTTACACACGCACAAATCTCTCTATAAAAACATCTTCTGCATCTCTCTCGTCTACAAATATGGCAACTGATCCTCTCTGTACATCATGTCTGGCCAAATTGCCGAGGCTCAATGGCTTGGACTTAATCTTTTCCATCGGCTTCGTTATTGTTGCTGTCAATTGTTCTATGCCTTCATTGGCCCCATCAGTAAACTAACAAACATGTGTAAGTTACTTTGAAAACGTATCCGGATGTGACCCAATGTATCTAGGATGTGTCTTATATTCAAAAAAATAAATAAAAATTTGGACATTGACTTTTACGTGTTTGTGTCCTAGACGTGTCTGACACGAACACGTAAAGACAAATGGCATGTCAGTGCTTCATAGATGACGAGCATACCATATATAAATCACAACAGACTTGGGATTCAAACAAATAGGTGACAAATCAACATTAGAAACAACTATAATTGGAACTTATAGGTTCTCCATCACATTCAATAATGGCTTATCCCAGTCAACTTCTTCAAATAAGGATCTTGCAGAAGTACAACCAATAGACAATCTATCCAAGATGACAAACTTATCTATTAGAAATCAAATACAACAATAATGGAGGGATACATTAAACATAAGAATGACAAAAGCAAGTTGTGATAGATCCGATGCCTATCACTGAGGGGAGTGCTATTGGCAACCATAATAGTGTACAAGAAGAGGGTGATGAACTAAAATTAAACAGAGAGAGATAATTATTCATATAATGTGTAATACTTGAATCAAACACTCAAGTGAAGCAAGATAAGAATCCAATTAGGATTAATACACAGATGGTGTAATATGCAGCTTGAGTATCCCTGCTCTCTTACCAAGATTGCTGCTATACAGAGTTTTGTCTACTTAAAACTTTAGGGCATTGTGCCTTTCAGTGACCTTTCTGACAAGAAAAATTTCAATCATATGTACATTCAAGTGTGTTACTTGTTTTGTATGCTAATTTGAGGCTTAGGAGGAACTGCCACAACTATATAACGTGGTAAAAGGAGTGGCTCCTTGCATAAGGATGCTTTAAAAGAAATTTCTGTCAATAACTCATCCATTACAACATCAGTTGAAGGAAGTGGGCCTTGGTGAAGAATGATGCCCCAAATGCCCTTCAAAATATCCCTATGAAGAGTCAATCAAGCTCATTTTGAACTATTGTCATTTTTGAAAAGAAACCCTCACATCCTCATTCTGCAACTAGACCATCACAATCGTTGATAAGTGACAAGTGTAATCATTTTTGGAAGCACAAAATATATCATTGGACACTATGTAAAGTGCTTGGTGCAATGGGCCCAACCTGCCAGTGACTTGAAGTTGCCAGCTAAAACTTGTGCAACCAGCCGTTGAAGTTGCTTTTATCATAGTTATAAACCCGACCTGAACATCAACCCAACAAAGGGACTAGGTCAATGGGTCACTCGTTCAAACAATGGGTCAACTGGTCGGACTGGTCATACGATTAAAAACAAAAAGTAATTATAACTAATAATAATTTACAAAACCACTGATTTCTCATTTTGGGTAGTAATATTTTCTTTTGAGTAATGTTTTGTTGAGGTCACTTGGTCTTGATTTTTCAAAATTTTCCTTTGTGATAGTGTCCTAAAAGAAAGTCCCAAACGTGGGGGATGTAGAAAATCCAAAAAGAACATATCAGAGAGAATAATTTTATATGGTAGCTAGCAACATTCTATTGATAGAAAAATGAAGCTTTTTACAAGGAAGGGGAAATTATGAAAAAAATACTTTTAAAAATGAATGCAATAGCATTTAGAACACAATATCAAATCTAATACTGTGTTCTTAATAATGGATCAAGAAAACACAGTACCTAATTAATTATCAATAAGAAACATAAAGTCCTCCCTCAAGCCGTAAGCCTTTAGGTCATAACCAATGGTAGGAAGATAGCAATCAACTCCGTAGCTGAACACTTAGCAAAACTACGAAGCAGAACAAAAAAAGCCACTGATTGTATTGACCATAGCAAGAGAGAATCATTTTGATGTAAAGAATACAGATCATTGGATCGATCAAGATCGTAGCTACACATAAGGTAAAATTTTTCACCAAAAAGCTCAAAATTGTTGAAATGAACAACTACAAATGCAGATCTAGCCAAAGAAAACAAATCATACTGGCTTTAAAAGAAAGTCTAATGAAGGTAGTATTGAAACTTTTCTATCAGAGGAACAAATTAAAAGTAGGAGCACTGAATGGAGGACGGACCACAAGGCCCTTGTTGCAACTGTGAGAGAGACAAAGGGAAATCATGTTGAGAAACAATGAGAGACGGAGGTACTGTGACAAGGAGTGTATGCCAATGATAGAGATTTTTTAGTGCAGTTATAGGTTTTTGTATAAGGTAGGTAACCCACCTGGGGTTTAATAGAACCGCCCGATTCACATGAGTTGGATAAAAACTGGCCGGATCCTATGGGTTTATAGGGATGTATGTGGTAGATGGAGATAGAAGGGGGTAGGGAGCCATTGTGCTATTGTGGGTACTGAAAAAAAGATGGAGACAGGTAAGGAATTGGGAATTACGACCATTAATCATGAAATTAACGTGGTTAGTTGTTTCAAATCCCATGATTGTGGGAGACCTGATCAGGATTTGAATTTTAAAAATAAGGTTAGTGTTGAAGTGGGCTCTGTTAATGGGTTGGAGAGTCAGATTGATCAATAGAGACAGAAGGGAGATGATAAAATGGGCTATAAAGACAAGGCCCATCAGGGGGATGTTGGGTTTTATGGGTTTAAAAAGATGTCCATCAAGGAAGTTGGTCCTTCAAAAGTGGGCCTTTTTGTCTCTAAAAGGCCTGATTATTTTAAGAAAATAATAGCCGAAACCCAGTACTTAAATGTTTTGGTTCCTAAGCCTAACTCAACACATAGGGCTGTTCTCTCTATTTCTCAAGAAGTTGAGATCGACGACAAGTTTGAAGGCAATGACGAAGAAGAAAGCGGGGTATTTAGGAGTGAGAATGATCTACAGCTGATGAAATTACCAATGATATGAAGATTTCCGATGACATCTTAGTCGGTGTGAGTGCTAATCGAGACTACAAAGATTTTGAAGTTAACAAGGGAGTTGGGGTAGAAGATAACTAGGAAAATTTGATACAGGAAGTGGAGGAAGGTTTTTTTGATGTGAACGACATAGGATTGTACTTAGAAGGCAATGATGTTTCTACCAATTGTGGTGATGGAGCATCTGATTGCTGCGATGTGGGAAAGGATACAAAATTCATTACGGATGAGGCAATCTATGTTATCGGCGATTTGTTTGATGCAAACATTGAAAGGAGTATTAATCTTGTTGATGAAGTTGACAATAAATGTGGAGTATGTGAATGTTGTTAGGTAAGTAAGTCTTTTGCATCAGTTTCTCATGCACCCCTTTGTACTTTCTTTTTTTTTGATGGGGAGGGGGGTTATACAAGAATTCTGAAGTGTCTTTAGTGCTAGGTAATTTTGAGGAGGATCTGTGTTCTGTGAGTTTGGGGAGGATACCGAGTCTAGGGTGGGTCGTAATTTGAAGGTGGATGGGAGTGGGTATTCTAGTTAAGTGGTGATGAGGATTTTCCTGTTATATTTGGTAATCCCTCCATCTGTTTAGGGAAGGAAAACCATTTTCTGTCTACTGATCTTGGGCCTACGAGGGAGGATGGGTTATCTCTTGAAAAGTGTTTGGCCTTCAGATTTAGGGAATGTCCAGTGTTAATTCTAAAGGTTGAATCGAAATTGGTTTCCAGTGAGTTTCCCTTGTGTTTTAATATCGAAAAGGCCATGACTAATTTTGTTCCAGGGTATTTAAATTGTTTGGCCGATAAGGATATTGTATGCTATGAGGGAGATGAGAGTGAAATGAGTCTAGGGTTGGGGGGTGGGCGGGGAATTCCAAGGGTGAGGATATGGGTGTTTTGTCTGATGAGGAAAAATGGGTAATTTTCAAAAACTTTTTAAAAAATGTGGATTTGTCATTAGTACCCACTAGGAGAAAATGGAAGAGTAAGGGAGAGAAAAAGAGTGTTAAAAAAAGAGAAGGGGTTTGTGAATACAATGGGATGAAGACAATATAGCATAAGAGGCAAAATTAGAGATAGGATGCTGAGTACAAGCTCAAACACCTTTTCTGACCGCAATAAGAAGATCAAAGTCATCTACAACTGGATTATCAATAACTGGTGTAATATCTGGAGGTTCATTACCTGATAAATCAGTGGAGGATAGAACTGGAGTTAAAGAATTGGACTGATGCAGTGGCACATCGGTAATTTGTACTTTTTGACATCAAAAGTATTCAGATTATCCTTGTGAAAGGTGAATAGGTTCTTGATAAAACATCTCTTTTCCTATAGTGGTATTCTCTCCCTGAAGAGATGTCTGGGTAGTAGAGAAAAATGACTCAAATTCACGAAAGGTAATATCTATGCTAACATATTTTGTGACTTTGGATGATAACATTTATATTCCTTTTGCGTGGCAGAGTAACTAACAAAAATACATTGTTGTCAAGTTTTCCGCAAGAGGGTTTGTAATCACATACAAAACAAACACACCCAAAAACTTTGGGAAGGAATAGAAGAAATAGAAGGAATTGAAAAAGACTCAAAAAGACACGATTAGAGACTTAAATTGAAGGACACTCGAGAATAGACGATTAATAAGATAGGCAGTAGTAAGAACTGCATCCCCCAACAATAAGGACAATTGAGGGACATTCATAGTAAACATCAATGAGCGAGCAACCTTAAGAAGATGATAATTTTTTCGCTCAGTAACACCATTTTGTTCTGGGGTACTTACACAAGTAGTTTGATGCACGATGCCATTTTCATTGAGATAAGAACAAATTTTTTCATCAACATACTCAGTTCGAAGAATTTTGACTTTCGCATCAATTTGAGTACTCACCATTTTATGAAAAAATCTGAAGCAAGAGAAAACTTTACTTTTATGGTGTAGTAGGTAAATCCAAGTAAGACGAGAATAACAATCAATAAAGGTAACAAACCAACGATAACTAGAAGTAGACACAACACGAGATGGGTCCCACACATCTAAATGATTAATGACAAAAGGTGCAGTGCTTCTATGTTAGTAGTAGGATATGATGGACGTTTATGCTTGATAAATTCACAAGAATCACAAACAAAATATTGTCTACTACACTGCTTCACCAGGCTAGCAAAAAGATGCTCTAAAACACCAAATGAGAGGGATGTCCTAAATGTCTATGTTGTTGATATAAGAGCTAAAGGGCTAAAACACCAGCTATTTGGAGAGCTTGAGATAGACTGAGAAGAAGCTTCAACTTCAAAAAAGGTACACACCATTATGTTTTTTACCATTGTCAATCATTTTTCCAAATTCTAGATTTTGAAAGATGCAATGAGTAGGTAAAAAAGTCACCGAACAATTAAAGATTTGGTAATATTACTAACAAACAATAAATTAGGGAGAAATTGGGAACGTGAAGAATGGAGGAGAGAGATAGAGAGGGAGAATAATTAATTGAACCTTTTCCATAAATAGAGGATAAAGATTCATCTGTCACCTTAACTTTATCCCTACTAGAACAAGTAGTATACAAAGAGAAAAGACTAGAAGAACATATCATATGATTCATAGCTCCAGAATCTATCATTTAAAGAGTATATGTGGATGTCGTAGTAAACACACTAACAGATATGCTTGTATAAGCAAAGTCAGAAGAAGAGGTAGGATTAGAAGATATAGCAGAGGAAACATCAATTCAAGCGATCAGATGTTTAAAGAGTCTTTATCTCATCTTGAGTGAAATCACTAGAAGTTACACTTTCTTCTGACATGTCCACACAATAGGATCAAAGAATTATAGTGGCAAGTTACAAAACAAGCATAACAGTCAACACTTTTGATTATCGCCAAAAATACAAAAACCCAGTAAGCAAATACAACCCCCAAGTAATATTCCTCAACCTCCAATCGCACCTCATAGAGTAGGATTGACAAAAAAACACTATCACCAAAAAAGGTTCTAAAAATTTCAAGAAATCACTCCTAAAAAATTGAACTACAATTATAAAAATACTCCTATAATGATGGAATATAACCAGAACAATACCCAGAGATACTAGGAGAGAAAATAGCCCCTGAGAGACAATTAAGAGCCAAAAAATTCACTGAGACGCAAAAAACCAACTGGTGGTAGCAAAAAAAAGGTACTGTGCAATCACCTAGTTTCTATGCGATCATCTAGCTTTACCCAAGCAGCTTCAAAGGCCATAAAAATCACAAGACATTAGAGCATAAGGCCAAACCAGTGCAGCAAAGAGAAAAAAAAAGTAAGCACACAGATCTAAGCAAAAACCCACCAAATTCAATCCAAATGCACCAAAACACTATGTGTATCTTAGATCTACCCTAGTCGAGGAGGATTTGCTAGAAAGCAACACAAAAATTGGTCTGAAATATCAAATTGTGACTGTGAATTGTAAAACCAAAATACATTTGAAAATTCAATAAACTTGTTAGATGGCTCCAAAAAATTCCCAAAAAATCACCATTATATTAAGAACAAAAAATTGAGTTTGTTAATGGTTGTCTCGAAATTTTTTGACATGTTCGTCGCTGACGCCAGCATGTCAGATGTTGACGTTAGCGCGTTAGATTCTGATAGGGACTATTTTGGTGTATTGTGGAAGATTTCCAATGAGTTTCAACAAATTTGGGACTTTAGATTCGATCGTTGGCTTAGACCAAGTGAGATTATGAAGAAATTAGGGTTTGAAGAAAGACAGAAAGAACACCTTGTTTTTATATGTAATCACAAAGTTCAAAAACAACCCTTAGTCTAGAAATAACAGATAACATATTAGTAAAGTTCCTCTAAAAGTGAAAGTTTGTGCATTGATGATTGCCCATGGTAAGATTAATACCTATGATGTGTTACAAAAGGATATCTTACACTTATTTATTCCCACAATGGTGTATTATGTGTAGAGCAAGTTGGGAGAGTTTAGATCATTTTTTTTAACATTGATCTATTGCATTTCTCCTTTGGAACAAGTTATTTGAGATGGTGGGGTCTTGGGTTGCCCCGTGATCAGTTTCCTCCATGTTTTCGACCGAATTTCAAGGCTTGGGTGATTGTGAAAGGGGTGTTGTTCTTTGGAATTGTGAGAGATCGAATTTATTTCCTTGCATCTTTTTAGGCTTCTGTAACAAAGGAGTTTGAAAGTGTCCCTCTCTTTTGTATTATCTCAACTTGGATGACCTCTAGTGGGAGATAATCTTTTATCTCTTGATGGCTGTTTTGATTTTGTTTTTTGTTCCTTTTACGCATGTACGAGGGTTGGACTACTTGTTCAACTTGCTCGCATTTTATATTTTTACTTATCAATGAAGAGTTTTGTTTCTTTTCAAAAAAAAAAAGAGTCCGAACATGCATTCATTGAGATTTAGTGGGTTTGCTAAGGATTCAAAAAAATTTATGACCAGGTCACCTGATTTGCTTTAAAAATTTACCCAAACTCCCCTTACTGTTATGCTGCCACTGTTATAGTTATTTTACGCAACACTGTGATACTTACTTTGTCATGTTAGTCTAGATGATGGGCTATGACAACCCTTTCAAGATCAACGAGAAATAGAATGGGTAGAGTTCGAGGCAGTTTTTATTTTTCCAGGGAGAGTGGCCCAACATTGTAGATCAGTTTTAGTGTAGCTGCGATTTTCTGAAATGTTTCTGTAAGATTTTTTTTAGGGATTGATAGATAAAACTATGAGAATAGTTAGGACTTGGCAATAGGGATCTTGTGGGAGAATAATTTTAGTGGTTAGCCCCCTCAGCTTGATAGAGCTATTTTTGACTTCTTGTACTTTTTCCCTTCACCTTTTGATTTGTGCATGTCTTTTTTCTGGTGAGGGGGCTTTTGTATCAACAAGTATAGATGGAAAAATGGGATAATCCTCGTGTAGATTTCACCCTTTTTAACCTTTATCTGCACTATGCATGTAAACTATAGATGTCGGAATATGATATTTTTACCCAACTAACTTATTTCTGTAATCATATGTGGTTTAAATTTATAACACGGTTTTGCTTGCATGGGTGTGTCTAGGCGTTCCTTTTAAACATGCCGTCCATCTTTTTTTTCCCAAATATGCATACATAAAATGCAACTGCTTGCATGGTTGCCTCTATGTGCCCATGAACTCATGTTGTCCATTATTACTCTGTTTGTGGACGCATAAATATATAATTCTATTTGTGTTTATTTGCATCTATAGACAATGATTTGTTTTGATAAAGGCTATTCTCCTTTTTCATTATGTCCCATTTTCCTTTTGCTTTTGTTTTCCTTCATATGTGCTAACTTCAGGGAAGGACCAAAGGAGGAAGAACAACAACCCAGGTTAGCATCTCTCTCTCTCTCTCTCTCCTGGGATTTTGTATTTTTCATAAATCTACTCTTTATTCTAAAAATCGGATTTTCTAATTGTATTTTAATGAAATTTGGGCGATCCAAATAAGCTTTTACTTTTTCATTCTCTCTCCATTCTTTCAAATTTTTTTTGATCCTTTTGGTTTCAAATTTTTTGGTTCCAAGATATTGCATTATGCATCATTATTTCTCAAATTTTACGTTTTAGCTTTGGTGGAGCTGGAGTGGGGCTGCTTTGTGCAATTTTACTAATTTGTGGCCATCCATTGTCATTAAATTATTAGGGATATTTATACTATATTTTTACTGGAAAGGATGTTATATTTTCGATGGGTTTCAGTTATTTAACATATTTCGCGTTTTTGGGCTTGGACCTATTTTTAAAAGTGACAACGAACAAAGCACAACAGATGTGCAAAATTTTTCTTGTTATAATATCTCTCTGTTCAAGCAATGGCATGTTACTAAACAGTCTATAGTTATCTTCCTTGTCTGCTTTTTTGTTAATGTCCACAGTATTGGTTATATGTATATTAAATTTGTTAGGGGATGTAATGGGTACACTAAGTGATGAGTGCTTGTTTCGCCAACATGACATTTTGGAACAAAGTTTGTTTTATCTGTTTGTCTGTGTTTTTTCCTTTTGGTGCTTAGAAGTAACACAGTTTGGTATTTTATGGAAGCTAAATGCTTCAATGACTCTCATATACAAGTGATTCTTACACCTCAGTTGTCTGCCTAGCTTCATGTGCAACTGGCTTGATACCATGTGCCCTAGGCTTACGGAATATATTGACATAAAGAGAGTAGAGAGAGAGGGGTTTTGGTAACACAGCAGAAGGTTACGCCAAGGAAAAACTATCCCAATTGGTAAGGGAAGTTGGTAGTTAGGGCGCATTTGAAATACACTTTTACAGTTAACACAAGAAAAAACGAGCATCACATAGAGAAGTGCAAAATTACGTGAATGGCCTGCACAAGATTCATTAGTGTTTTTCCTTTTTTTTTTCTTTTTTTTTCAGTAGCTTGGACCAAGGAATATCTTGACTACTGTGGCTTTTATTCTTATTATTATAGCATAAAACTTGTTTCCATATCGCGGGGCGAATAGCGTGATGATGTCAATGGCTTCACCATTTTGTTGGTTTCTTTGGATGCAGTTATTTGAAAAGGGGAGTTAATGATCGGGGAAGGGTTGCAAATGATGTTGAAACAGAACAAATTGTTCTTGATGAAGAGGCTGGGTCATGCAAGGGGAAAATGAGTTCCGTAGTACAAATGAGGGGTTCAATCCCACTTTTCTGGTCACAAGAAGCTTCGAGATTCAGTCCTAAACCTGATATAATCTGTGAGAATAATCAACTATTTTACTTGATTATTTTGTTGATAAGTATATTTATGTTGCTTTTTTATGCTTGTCATTCTATGTCGATCTGCTTTTGAACGAACTTTGATGCTTGTTTCCTTTCTGGTTTCAGTGCAAAGATATGATCCTACTTATGAGGCAACTAAACTGCATTTTGAAGACCTGGCGAAGAGATATGGCGATCCAATAATTGTGCTTAATCTCATAAAGGTTTGTTCTCAAAATTTTATCTTTAATGCTAGCCTAGGGATTACATATACGCCCTTTTTAGTCTTGGTTAGTGGATTTTGTTTTGTTTGCATGGGCATTCTTAGTGTTAGAACTGATTAATATTCATATTGGACCCTGTCAAGCTGCTCATACTTTTCTTTGATGTATAACTTGATCTAAGCAAGTCCACATGATATCTAATTTATGGTATATTGCAACATACTGCCATACCATCACATGTATTCTTGTAATTTTTTGACTGCGGGATATCTGGTGAGCTGTGTTGCATTCTTGCTAATTTTCTGTGGTTGCATGTTTATGCCTTAAATACTACAAAATTAAATGTGTATTGGTATCTGTTTGTGAGTATTTTGTCTGTCAATCCCAATGTGAATTATCGAGATAACAACTACAAGTTACAATTCCATTCTATCATATTGATAGATATAGAATCTGGATGTAAGTGCACTACTTGTAAGTAATTCCAAAAGAATTAGAAATCAGAAACTACTATAAAAGAATTCAAAAGAACTTAGAAGTCAAACAAGTATAGAAAACAAAAATTAAATTAAAGTAAATAGATATAATTGACTTTATTATAATAATTATGGAAAAAATGGGAAATCAAAATTTTTTCACTCGTTTATAATAATATAGATATGCTGTGCTTGATGTCATTGAAATGTCCAACTTAGTTTTCATAGTCAACAGGTTTAGATTGTTTTGTCCTAGGAATAGATTCTGGAAAAATAATTTATCAAATAGCTAATATAAATTGGGGCTTTTTTTCACTTTGCACCCCGAAAGATGTCTCGATTCTCACTTTATACTCATACTCTGAAAAGATTATTTTTCTCACATTGCACCCTGAATTTCATAAATTAGTTTCAATGTAGCACTCAGACTAACATCTGATTCAAATTCCGTTAACAATTGATGCATTTGCCATTCACGTGTTGCTCTTGGACAAAAATGTAAACTCACAATTCATATTTTTGGGTAGCATGTACATTAATTTTTAATAGAATCTGAAACAGATGTTAGTCCGAGGGTCACATTGGAACCTATTTATGACATTCATGGTGCAATGTGAGAAAAATAATCTTTCGGAGTGCACCATGGGATAAATATATTTTTTGGGGTGCAAAGTGTGAAAAGCCCTATAAATTGTTGTCTAGGGCTCCTATGTTGTGGATAATGAAAGAGTTTAGGATGTGTAACATTGATTTAAATCCCATACTGGATGCGGCGGTTTGAATTGTCTATACCATTGAGTGATTCATTGTGGCCGGAATGAGCTCGTAAAACCATTCCTTGCCAAAATTCTGTTTATTTTAGTCAAGTTCTTCAAATGGAAGTTTTAATGGGTAATCCACTTGAACAGATCAAGCATTCAAGAAACTGTCTTGTTGTGCCACTTAACCCAATTTGTAGTTCTGGCATTTCATGTACTCATCAAGGAGTGGCTATGGTTTATCTATTCCATAGACTCTTAAATCTGCCCAATGCCAATTTCATGTACTCATAAAGGTGATGATGCTTCTTTTTTTTTTTTTTTTTTGTTGTTATTGGGGGGGTTATTTTTTGTACTAAATCAAGGCCAAGATTGGTGGCATGTGTGAATCAAGATATGGTTTGTAAAATGTTTCACCCTTTCTATTATTTGTTCCTTTCTTTCTTCTCAACCGGGATGATTGGCCCAAGGAACTGCAAACCGGTGCCTTTTATGGGTTAAAATTTGTCCATCTTTAAAACCATTGGTACTCAATATAGTTTCATAGACATTTGTTTGTGTTAGAGTTCTTATTTTTCTATATTAGACATATGTTAATTAGTGTACGGTAATATTATAATAGCTTTATTTATTACCCGGTTATAAATAAGAGAGTATACAACAGTAACTTAACCTAAACACCAGATTATTCTTATTGTTTTCCTCATTTTCTTTTCTCTTTCTCACTTTTTCTTCTTTTCTCATAAACCCTAATATCAAATTCACCCATTTAACTTGGTGTTGGAGAAACGATTCAAGACCAAAATATCATCAAAATACATGAGAAGACTTTTGAAAGAACTTTCATCATCGCTGGTCGCTAACGCCAGTAGTTTCTGACAATGATAACCCACCCCCAAACTCGATCTTTTGAGGGGGTAATTATGGTTGTTGACGTCAGCAATTTTTGACGACTGGAACCTACCTTCAAACTTGATTTTTTGAAGGGGTAATTACGGTATTTTTTGAATTTTTTTGAAGTCGTTTTGGAGGGAGTTTGCTAATTTTGAATTTTTTCAGAAAAATAGGAGTATTTTCTTTGATCTACTGATTTGGGGCATTTTCTTGTGATTTGTTGCTTTGATCTGCTTCTAAGGGTTGCAACTAGGGCTTGGGTGGACTTTTGTGTGATGTCCAGTCCCCCTTGGTGATGTTTGGCGTGATTTTGTGCTGTTTTTGGCTTTCGGTCACTGTTCCGGCATCTGAACAGTGACCGACGACTGCACAAGGGTGGTTTTTGGCATCTGAACAATGACCGACAGCTGCACAAGGGTGGTTTTTTGCCTCTATTAAGAATCTTGGGTTGGTTTTCAAGCCTTTGATGTGTTGGGTCTGCCTTCTTTGTTCCTAAAGGTGTCGGCCAGTGTCAATACCGTTGTTCAATGATTGGGACTTCTACCAGGTGACTTCTTTGGTTCGTTTTCTGGTCTCCTTGTTGTGTTGAGGCCATGTGGTGTGAATTCATCCATTAGTTGGACCTATAGGTTGTGTGATTTTGGAATTCTAATTTCTTTGGGAGCAGATTTGGTTTTGTTGTGTTGATTTCAGCCTTGAGCATTTGGTCCGGTGAGTGACACTATTTAATTGTGTTTTTTTTAATTATGTCGACATCAGAAGAGATAAAGGCTTCGTTGGGTGATGATCAGCCTTGTCAGGTCTATTCCGTAGATGATCGTGTTCAATAGATTACCTCGGTAAAGTTGAATGGCACCAATTATTATTCTTGATCTCATGCCATTAAAGTATTTTTGCGTGCTAAACGAAAGGTCAAATACTTGATTAAGAGTCCTCCCCTTGAAAAGTGCAAAGATTCTGAAGATTGGTTGAGTGAGAATTCTTTGGTGATGGCATGGTTGTGGCTTAGTAAGGAGCTGTCTGTTGCCTTTAATGTTCAGCTTCTTGATATTGTTAAGAAAATATAAGTCCCTCTTGAGGAGATGTATTCACAAGAGCATAACGTGTTTCGAATATATGAACTTTTTGAGTGGATGTTTAATACCAAGCAAGACAAATAAATCTCTAACTGAGCACTATGGCACTTTGGAAGGGTTATGGAAGGAACTTTTACTTTATCAAGTACAGGAATGACAATGTGAAGAGTTTGAGGTTGCTCTATTCTTGTTCAGTCTTAATTATGAATATAGTGTATTAAAAGATCTGATTTTGGTTAGCGAGAACCTCTTACCGGCCAATGCTTATTCCTGTCTTTAGAAACCCTCTTCGACCCGTGAACTTTCTCATCCTCACAGGAGTCATCTGCTTTACTCTATAGTGAAAATACTTGTGGTGGTCACCATTTATCCTCATGTTGTTATCATGGTGGTAGAGGTACTTGTCGTGGAGGTCATAGTAGTCGTGGCAATCGGCTCAAGTGGAGATGTTCTTATTGTGGAGCTGTTGNCTGTTTTTGGCTTTCGGTCACTGTTCCGGCATCTGAACAGTGACCGACGACTGCACAAGGGTGGTTTTTGGCATCTGAACAATGACCGACAGCTGCACAAGGGTGGTTTTTTGCCTCTATTAAGAATCTTGGGTTGGTTTTCAAGCCTTTGATGTGTTGGGTCTGCCTTCTTTGTTCCTAAAGGTGTCGGCCAGTGTCAATACCGTTGTTCAATGATTGGGACTTCTACCAGGTGACTTCTTTGGTTCGTTTTCTGGTCTCCTTGTTGTGTTGAGGCCATGTGGTGTGAATTCATCCATTAGTTGGACCTATAGGTTGTGTGATTTTGGAATTCTAATTTCTTTGGGAGCAGATTTGGTTTTGTTGTGTTGATTTCAGCCTTGAGCATTTGGTCCGGTGAGTGACACTATTTAATTGTGTTTTTTTTAATTATGTCGACATCAGAAGAGATAAAGGCTTCGTTGGGTGATGATCAGCCTTGTCAGGTCTATTCCGTAGATGATCGTGTTCAATAGATTACCTCGGTAAAGTTGAATGGCACCAATTATTATTCTTGATCTCATGCCATTAAAGTATTTTTGCGTGCTAAACGAAAGGTCAAATACTTGATTAAGAGTCCTCCCCTTGAAAAGTGCAAAGATTCTGAAGATTGGTTGAGTGAGAATTCTTTGGTGATGGCATGGTTGTGGCTTAGTAAGGAGCTGTCTGTTGCCTTTAATGTTCAGCTTCTTGATATTGTTAAGAAAATATAAGTCCCTCTTGAGGAGATGTATTCACAAGAGCATAACGTGTTTCGAATATATGAACTTTTTGAGTGGATGTTTAATACCAAGCAAGACAAATAAATCTCTAACTGAGCACTATGGCACTTTGGAAGGGTTATGGAAGGAACTTTTACTTTATCAAGTACAGGAATGACAATGTGAAGAGTTTGAGGTTGCTCTATTCTTGTTCAGTCTTAATTATGAATATAGTGTATTAAAAGATCTGATTTTGGTTAGCGAGAACCTCTTACCGGCCAATGCTTATTCCTGTCTTTAGAAACCCTCTTCGACCCGTGAACTTTCTCATCCTCACAGGAGTCATCTGCTTTACTCTATAGTGAAAATACTTGTGGTGGTCACCATTTATCCTCATGTTGTTATCATGGTGGTAGAGGTACTTGTCGTGGAGGTCATAGTAGTCGTGGCAATCGGCTCAAGTGGAGATGTTCTTATTGTGGAGCTGTTGGTTGTAGAGGCTCAAATCCTCTGTGCAAAAAATGAATCAATTAAGCATTTGCTTGTGCTGCATTATTTCCAAGTAATGTCACAGAGACACCATTTAGTCTATCAAATACCTGGAGTCGAATAAGAACCATAATGATCAACTTTACATAGCATAAGAGAATTCCATCCCAAAACAAAACTATATAATTCAACAGAAGCACAAACTTCTTTGTCCGCAACATCAAGCTCTTTTAGTATTGGCTATGCCTTTTGTTTAATAATTCCCAATGGGTTTGCTTGAAAAAAGGACATAAAGATATTTTTTTAATTCCCTTGAAAATTCCTACATAATTGAATAAACTATAGATATTTTTAATAAGCTACATTTTCGTGCAGTGGAGGTTATGCCTACATTTTACTTCACCCTAGTGTGTGTGAAACAGAACAAGGGAGGTAGTCCAAGTATACTCAGATTCGGATTTTACAACTAGTCAAGTATCCTGACTCATCATGCATACCTGAATCCATGTCACATGTTTGTGAGTGATTATGCTGTGGTGCACGCTGTACGACAATAGAAAGGGACATGATGTTTGCTCATAACTAACTTTATGATACATGTAATGTACTTTTTCTGTAGTTGAATTATTGTCACGACATCCTATTAGAGAGATGTTGCGGTTCATATATGTCTCTTTTATTACTTACATTTAATTTGTTGTGTGCTATTCTGCTTAGCTCTGTCTGAGGCCATATTTGCTTTGGTCTTTTGCCTTCCTCACGCTTCTCTCATTTTTTTTGACACCTACAAATTTCATCTATCATTCCTCTATGGTGCAATTTTTGGGGTCTCCCTTGCACCAGATGAAAGTATTTATGAGCTTGGTTTCTCTTATTTGCCATCTATTAGCACCAGCTATAACTTTCAATCTAATGCATGAATTTGTTGTTGCATCCTCTTTGTTATTGTTGCTAATTATATCAACTTCCATATTATGAACTCATGTTTTTCTCTGAGTTCAACTACTTTTATGGACTAAAGTAAGGTAACTAATTATCTGCTGCTTTCAAGCTATTTTTCTTTTGGTATTAAAATAATTGACGTTCGTAAATCAGTGCGAGGCTTTCAGCGATTCCTATTTCTTATGTGATGATATGATGATCTTGAATGATGAGAGGGCAATTTGAACATCACCTGTCTTGTTATTGCCTTATTGGGATATTTAGGTTCTCTCTAGAGACAGTTCAATATGTGATACCTTTTGCTGACCTTTTGTTGTTACATGACAGACCTTCGAGAAAAGGCCACGAGAAATGATGCTAAGGCGAGAGTTTGCTAATGCAGTCGGGTATCTAAACCAGATTCTCTCAGAAGAAAATCATCTCAAATTTATTCATTGGGACTTTCACAAGTTTGCAAAGAGGTATGTATGCATGTAACACTCGTTGTGCAATGTGCTCCTCCTTTGCTTTTGCTAAATGTTTTGTTTCTCTGCTGGTTTCAAGCAAGTCTGCCAATGTTTTGGCAGTTTTAGGTGGTGTGGCAAGCGAGGCACTTGATTTGACAGGTTTTTATTATAGTGGAAAGCCAAATGTTGTTAAAAGACGAGCTGCCCAACTTAGTCGAACGAGCACTGGCAGGTATCTCTCTTTCTATAATCGATGCATGTTCATTGTAGGATTGAATATCAGCTTATTTGTCCAAGTGGCTTGGTTGCAGCTTTTTTGAAGTATTGGGTTTGATATCATTTTATTTCTATAATTGATGCATGGCATTGTAGGAATTAATATTAACTTATTTGCTAAAGAGGTTTAGTTTCAGGTTTTGTGAACTACTGAGGTTTTATATCATATTGATATTATTTGGATCAAGGCTATTGGATTTCTATTTATCTGAACCTATTTGTTACCAAAAGATTTCCATACCTAGTAGATTAAGAAATTATATTTATTCTGATGCAGATTGACCCTAATAATTAGAATATGTCTAATGCATTATTCCATGTCGTACAGCTCAATGGGATTAGTCAAGTAGTGGATCTGATGCTTTGCCTCCTGTTTTGTCTATTGATCTCTTTTGTGAATATTGCATTGCTGTGTTTCAACCTTCTAGTGATGCCCTGGGGTTCTTGATACCCTGGGTTAATTTTGTCAGAAAATAACCTGGGTCTCCATTGAGAGCCATAGAGCTAGTAAAACCAATTTTTTCTTCTTCTTCTTTAATGCAGTTTTTCTTCTTCTTGTTCTCTCTTCCTCCTAACATTTTTTCCCATTCTTTTTCATTATTTTAGAGACCTTTAGTTCTCTTTCGTTCCTGTTTCTACCTGTTGGAGATTGTCCCTTTTGCCTTCTTTTATTTACTTTGAAAAGAATGGTGGTTGGAGTGTTCAAGGGTTGAGCACATACATTTTAAATAGAGGGTTCCACCTTGATGAAATTCCTCAACATGTTGTACTATTGCTACCACTGCTATGATGATGAGTATTACTGTTGTATAAATAATTGTGTGGAATATTCAAGAGTTGATGTGAGTGACTCCGGTCTTATTAACTTGATGCCTTCTTTTTTCTGTATTTACTTACGTTTTTTGAGGTAGATGAATGATGTATGGCCTATTTTAGGGCTTTCAGTTGGAGAGAAAGACTCTTTTACTTACCTTGTTGCCTTAAGACACTTTTACTTACTTTGTTGCCTTTTTTGCTGGTTTGACATAGATTTTAAATCAGAGGATTCCCCATTGATGATATTCTTTGACTTCTCTTACAACAGCAACAACTATAATTACCGCAACCATTTCCATCACCACCACACTCATCATTATAATCAGTTTTTTCAAAGATTTGGCACCTGTTCTTTTCATACTTGTTTGTGGTGTTACATAACGATAATTTATGTTTGACTGTCAAATTTCTGACTTCTACTGTCCCTTATGTTGAGTACTTTTGCACAGGCAATATTGATGGCCGTAAATTCTTGAAGGAAAAATAAAAGAAAAAATGTAAGAATCAGCAACTAAAAATAATGCCTCTTTCTCATGGGAATTCCTTCATGGAAGAACAAATGGCTATTAAGGTTTACCTGAATTAGCGGCCTCAAATTTAGTCAGCTTATTGAAACAGACCTTGAGTTAAGCTAGTTGAGGATCAATGTTGGGTAGAGTATGTGGTTTGTAGAGGTTGACACTTAACTGTGAATACAGTTTTGTTCTTATAGCTTTTTGCTGGTTCTCCAGGGATGCTTCTCTTAGAGATCTGAGAGCTAATTCCGGGGATCTCTCGAGGATTGGAAGTAGTAATGATACTTTACATTCCTTAACAAAACAAGAGAGAAAGTCCGATCGCAATCAACTGGTTAGGAAAGATAATGCAGCACCGCGGTTTCAAAGTGGAGTTCTGCGGACTAATTGCATTGACTGCTTGGATCGTACAAATGTTGCTCAATATGCTTATGGACTGGCAGCTTTAGGTCGCCAACTCCATGCAATGGGTTTGACAGATAAGCCCAAATTAGATGCTGAGAGTAGCATTGCTGCAGCTCTGATGGAGATGTACCAGAGTATGGGTGATGCTCTTGCCCAGCAGTATGGTGGCTCTGCAGCTCACAATACTGTATGTTTACCAACTGTCAAAGTCAGATTGGTTATTGAATCAAATTTTTTCTTTTAAATTGTGGCAGCTGCTTTTTGTGATTAGTAAAATAGACTTTGTAAACTTCTGGTGTATTATTCAAGCAGACTTGTATGATGAATCCCAGGTGTTCCCAGAGAGGCAGGGAAAGTGGAAAGCTACAACCCAGTCTAGGGAATTTTTGAAGTCTATCAAGCGATACTACAGCAATGCTTATACTGATGGAGAAAAACAAGATGCAATAAATTTGTAATTATTCATCCCCTTGTTGTATCATATAGTCCTTATGCGACATTGCCTTTTTTTCCAAGAAAAAAAAAACTTAAAACTATAAGCATCTTAGGTTTCCCTCCCTGTTGTATGAGATGGATGAAGTTTTAACATGTTGATCTTGATCCAAGTTTCTCACTTCAGTAGTAAGAATGTTTTTTTTTTTTTGGTGCAAAGCTAGGATGCTTCAAATTTGCTAAGACTGCACCTTAATCATGCCTCTCATTCTGTCTTCATTTGGTGGTTTTACCAGATTTTTGGGTTACTTCCAACCAGAGGATGGAAAACCTGCACTATGGGAGTTGGATTCTGATTATTACCTTCACGTATCTGGAATCGGAGATGACCTCATCCCAGAGAAGAGGTAAGATACAAACATGCTATGGACTGTGGTGTTTCTGAAGCCATATCATTCATTCTCCCCTTAAGTAGTTTGATTTTTTTAGCCATCTAGTTCAATCAGGAGATTGTGCAGCAGGAGTGGTTGAATATCCTAATTTGATTGGTGTGAAAGTATTATTCTTTTTTTTCAAATTAGAAAAGTTAATGTGCCTTGTTTTTTTTTTTTTTTTTAAAATTCCGTGGCTTATCTATATGAAGGGTCGGTTACTGTAATATAAGCTACATAACCAGACACTGACAGATATACATAACAGCAATATTTTATTGGGTAGTTATATCATGTGTCCCCAAAGCATGCGTTGTGTCTCATTTTGGCCTTCAATGCTGCAATTGGTTTATTTGGGTCCTTGAAATATTGGATTTTTGTTTGTAGTCCACAAACGACGTCGGAATTGATCACAGTAGCGTGAGGCTAATGGAGTGAAACCATTCCCACCAGCACTCATATATACCTATCCATTCCCCTTTAAAATTCAAATTTAACTCCAATCAAAAGACCTCTCCTCTGTTCACTACCTCCTTTCTTTTAGCCCCTCTCTTTAAACTTCCTAGTCTCTTTATTGTTAACCCACCGTGCCTCTTCTTCGTACACACACCCATTCTGCACATGCATATTTTGTGCTGTACATGTCTAGTTGAGAAAATATATATAGCTCAATCTTTTACTCCATTTTAAACCTCTTTTCCTGGTTAATTCCTTTTCCTATTCCACAAATTCCATTCTCTTCTAACAGTTTAGGGCTGACATCTTACCCATTTGCAATGTCTATGTATAGGCATTGAATCGTGAATGAGGAATTGATCCCGTTTTATTTCTTCAAAGTTCCTACATATTATTCCAGGAGATCAAATTTCTCATCAACTCAATTGATCATTGCTAACCCATTCCTCAGCCATTCATGCTTCCATGTCCATTGAAACCCTTGGCATAATTTGAACTTTACTATCGTTGATGGTAAGGGATTAGGCAAGGGATTAGGGAACCCATGTGTTCGGGGTGGGGGAAGTTGAGGGCAACGGACTATGGGTTTGGGGAGGGGACTGTGTTTCAGGAGTTTGATGTATGGGGAGAGAGTGGAGAAAGCTTTTGGTGGTGATGGATGGAGATTGGAGAGAGAGTGTGTATAGAACATTTGGTGGTTGACTGGTGGAGAGTGAGTAGAGAGAAAGAAAGGTCAAACGAAGAAGGACAACAAAACTAGAAAGGTATTTATTTCTTGTTTTTTAGTCCCATTGACGAGTCATTAAAATTTTTGTTTTCACTTGATCCACTTCAAGTATCATGTGAGAAGTACAGAACCAAACAACATTCGTAATTTGGATACCATTTGCCTTAGGGATCACGTAAACACACGTACAATTCTTTAGGAGTAAAAATGAATCAATTGAACCATTTTTTTTTTTTTAGGGAGGGGGAGGGGGAGGAGGGAGGAGGGAAGGGGGTTTGAAACCTTGACTTTAAAAAGGTAAAACCCTCACAAGGTAAGGAGTACCATTAGACTAATTGAACCATTGATGATTAGAATGACACATAAAGCATACTTTGGGAATTCCCAATATAAATAAACCATGGTTTAGTATGTTCGATTAAATGATTAGTAAACTACATTTTGTGTCGGTTAGGTTTTGGCTACTATCTTCATGTATTCATGATGAGTGTTGTTATTATCACACTATACTTGATGTATTATACATTTCAATGTAGGAAAAAGTGATAGAACTTTTTAGTTGTATCATTTTCTTATAGTATCACATGATACATTTAGTATGTTTCGATACAGTGAAAAACTTTTTTTATCCGAAACAATGAAAAACCATCATTTTCTATAGGTTATTTTGTCCTTTTTGGTTCAATTGTTTTCTTCGCCTGTGATCCTCTTGTTATTTTCTTCTTCTTTTATGTATAGACGAAACCCTAGTTTTATTTCAATATTTGTTGCAAAGATTTAGGATTGTATCTCTTACGATCTCTATCTCGCACACACAACCAACGAAATGATGAGCAGAAATGATGTTTATACTATTTTGGAATGTGTGTGTATATACATAGGTGTGTTTGTTTATTATTAATTTTTAAAATTGAGCATATCTCAATAAACACGATACGTCATGACACACGGTACACAAAATTTAAAAAATGATATGCATTGCTGTACACTTTCTGACAACCTTGTCCAGGATTGGAGATGACCCTATCCTAAAGAAGAGGTAAAATTTTGATTTTTTTTTTATTTTTGCTTCTACCAACCTATCGATTATTCTATGTCTCGAGATGACCTTATATGAGAGATGGGTATTCTTCATTGGAGTCATGTTCTCTTATCAGACTTGAATCCTTAGAATGAGTAGTAAGCTAAAGATGAGTTCTAAAATTAAAATGGGCTGCATGATATACACTAAAAAATTGAGTATGATACTTGCTTATCTATGATGAACTATGTGTTTCTTTCCAACAACTAAGCTGTGCCAATTGGATCATCGTTTTCTTTTTTCTCCAAAGTTCAGGCTTGTTTGATCTGGATCCAAGCTTGTTTGCATGGCCTTCTCCACCTCTATTTTCCTTGTTTTTTTGCAAACTTACACATGGGGACATGTACATGTAAGCTTAAGCACATATCTCATATCTTAGTATATTCATAAACTGGAAGGGGTCGACCTAGTTCCCAATCCTGGTCTTCATTCGTGGCATCTACATGAAGTGCATTTGCACCCAAACTAACTTCTTTATTCTGCATACGTGTTTTGGACACTGTTACTATTGTTCTCTTAGATTTTTATGAATTAATTGTATTTTTTTGATTATTCTAATGTTAATTATTTACAATTCANCTCACAAGGTAAGGAGTACCATTAGACTAATTGAACCATTGATGATTAGAATGACACATAAAGCATACTTTGGGAATTCCCAATATAAATAAACCATGGTTTAGTATGTTCGATTAAATGATTAGTAAACTACATTTTGTGTCGGTTAGGTTTTGGCTACTATCTTCATGTATTCATGATGAGTGTTGTTATTATCACACTATACTTGATGTATTATACATTTCAATGTAGGAAAAAGTGATAGAACTTTTTAGTTGTATCATTTTCTTATAGTATCACATGATACATTTAGTATGTTTCGATACAGTGAAAAACTTTTTTTATCCGAAACAATGAAAAACCATCATTTTCTATAGGTTATTTTGTCCTTTTTGGTTCAATTGTTTTCTTCGCCTGTGATCCTCTTGTTATTTTCTTCTTCTTTTATGTATAGACGAAACCCTAGTTTTATTTCAATATTTGTTGCAAAGATTTAGGATTGTATCTCTTACGATCTCTATCTCGCACACACAACCAACGAAATGATGAGCAGAAATGATGTTTATACTATTTTGGAATGTGTGTGTATATACATAGGTGTGTTTGTTTATTATTAATTTTTAAAATTGAGCATATCTCAATAAACACGATACGTCATGACACACGGTACACAAAATTTAAAAAATGATATGCATTGCTGTACACTTTCTGACAACCTTGTCCAGGATTGGAGATGACCCTATCCTAAAGAAGAGGTAAAATTTTGATTTTTTTTTTATTTTTGCTTCTACCAACCTATCGATTATTCTATGTCTCGAGATGACCTTATATGAGAGATGGGTATTCTTCATTGGAGTCATGTTCTCTTATCAGACTTGAATCCTTAGAATGAGTAGTAAGCTAAAGATGAGTTCTAAAATTAAAATGGGCTGCATGATATACACTAAAAAATTGAGTATGATACTTGCTTATCTATGATGAACTATGTGTTTCTTTCCAACAACTAAGCTGTGCCAATTGGATCATCGTTTTCTTTTTTCTCCAAAGTTCAGGCTTGTTTGATCTGGATCCAAGCTTGTTTGCATGGCCTTCTCCACCTCTATTTTCCTTGTTTTTTTGCAAACTTACACATGGGGACATGTACATGTAAGCTTAAGCACATATCTCATATCTTAGTATATTCATAAACTGGAAGGGGTCGACCTAGTTCCCAATCCTGGTCTTCATTCGTGGCATCTACATGAAGTGCATTTGCACCCAAACTAACTTCTTTATTCTGCATACGTGTTTTGGACACTGTTACTATTGTTCTCTTAGATTTTTATGAATTAATTGTATTTTTTTGATTATTCTAATGTTAATTATTTACAATTCACCTCAATTTGTAGTGGCCTGGTTGATATTAGGCCTGTAGGAGGTGGAACTACCCTTGCCCCTATTCCTGCATGCCGAGAGGATTTCTTGCGGATGAAGTTCACACCACTTGATAAATTAATAGAGAGAACATGCAGTTCAATAAGGAATGTAAGGCTTTACAGTGAACTCGATCAAAAAACCGGCAATTCTGGAGTTGCACCTGATGCAGCGTAATTATCTTCTTGAACTAAGTGATATTATGTTTTGTTTAGCATCTTGGTCTTTATTTTATATGTTCTCGTTCCAATCTCCATTTCACATGGACACTTTGTAGTGCTGTTGATTTGTTTATTCTATCCTTCTATGTTTCTTTAATGCTGAATAATTACTTGTACTTCATTTTTTTTAGTACTTTTGAAAATGGTTCTATACCATTAGTTTTAATCCTTTATGATCCTTACTCGTGATGTTCTTGGATGTGCTTTGCCTAACCGTCACAAATGGTGGGTTTGGCACGCATTTCACCGGTTTGATGAACATAAGTCGAGGATCTTTATAGCTAAAGACATCTAATTCAAAACCAATTGACAATGAGTGAAGAGACCCCATCAATCATATAAGTCAATCTTGGGTCACAATAAGCTTTTGATGTGGGATACAAGTTCTTTTTGCACCCTCCCGCCCATGGGATTCGAGCTTGCACCAAACGAAGTAGGCTTTGGGAAATTCGAATGGGTGACATACTTGATCTATTAACCTCTCAAGGGTTGGTTTGATATCCTGTCAGAGTGTACAATCCAAAATCAATTGGTGATGAGTGAAGAAATCCATCAACCATATTACTACCTTGAGTGGCACTAATCTTTTGGTTTGAGGTATGGGTCCTCTTCAAATTGATAATCCATTACTTACCCAAAAATAAAAAATGCCCATTGATTGGAAGCTATCGGATGATGAGGGAAACGACTTTAAATGGAGAAAGCAATGTTCATATGGGTTGCAAGAAAGGGCAAATCGCTGGAGGAGAGCTTCACGTCAATTTGGGCGAAGGATTAGGCAAAGGTAGGGCTTGGTTTGAAAGAATGGTGAGTGGTAAGAGGATGTGGAGATGTAGTCTCCTGTGCATTTCACTCCCTTTTCCCATTTTAAAATCTCTTTGGGTATAGACAAGACAACTGACGATTAGGGGTTATGGATTTGAGATTGGAACATGTATCAACATGGAGGATGATGAGTTTCATGGGGCTCTTGAGTTTCCTTCAAATGGTTTGAAGATGAAGCCACATGGATGTTTAGCTCATAGAATATTGATTCAATGGTAGGATGAGGGCTGGAAGGTTAAGTGGAGCCCAAGAGTTGAAAGGAGTTTATCACTTTTTAATGCTATTATCAAATGGGAGGCATGCAATTGGGCAAGGGATGCCTAAGCAACAAGAAGGGAAAAAGGACAATGGCATTTTAACCATGTAACTAAGGGTTATGTCATGGGGGTACTAGAGTTGAATTACTTAGCTAAGAAGCACGTACACTTTTAATAATATGATGTCTTTGTCGAACCCCGACACTTGTCGGACAAGTGTCTGATACTCTTTTAACCATGTTCATAACTAGAAATTTAAATTCGCTAGATAAGTGTTCGATATTCTTTTAGCGTTGTGTCCGACATGACAATTGATATAGAAAAATTATATTAATGTTGGAGAGAAGTCGAGAAGGAGGGGAGATAAAGAGAAACAAAGGATGTTACATTGCCCTACACTCTTATTTATAGTAAACTGGTATTATTAGAATTATAATCAAGGAATTAATTTTATTTTGAAAGGGTCAAAACATCTGAAACACTTTTGTTTTCATGAAAATCAAAACTAATCATTGATTAATTATCAAAAATTTTATATTTCGAGGTGTTTTGGTTGTTTCGACCAATGTTTCGAAAATAAATTTTTAAATTTTTTGTTTGTTTTCATCTTATTTCCGAAATATTACCAGAATTTTTTCATTTTCAAGATCATCGAAACTATATACCAAAACAAAATTTTGATCCTTGATTACAATATCAACTAATAAAAAAGAATTTTAACAATTCCCTTCAAGTTGGAGCATAAAGATCAAAGATACCCAGACTAGAGCAAATGTTATTGAAGACAAATCTAGCTAATAGTTTGGTAAGGATGTCACTCAGTTGATCATTAGACTTGATAGTGTGATAATCTCCTTACGCATCAATATATCTCGAATAAAATAACAATCTATTTCAATGTGTTTAGTCATCTCATGAAATACTGGATTATTGACAATGAAAATAGGAGTTTGGTTATCACAACGCATTTCCTAGGAGAGGACACACCAATACTCATACTATGAAGTAGAGAACGAACCCACAACATCTGATATTGAGAATGAGCCATGATTCGGTATTCAGCCCCTGCACTCGAATGTGTATGCACATTCTTTTTTTTTTTTTAACACAGACAAAGGGTACATGCATATTTTGAACATGCCAACCACATTCTTTTATTGCTATGCCAAGTAATAAGATTATCATCAATATATGTACAGTAAGTAACCTAACATAGATCATCTATCAATACGACTACTTGCCCAATTAGCATCAGAAAAGCTAATAATAATCATAGATGGTGAAAGACGATATAATAATGTTTTACCTAATGCACCTTTCGGATACCAAAAAATATGACAGACAGTCTCCCAATGAGTTGATTAATCACATCAACAACATGGATAATATCAAGAAGTGTAACTGTGAAATAAATTAACTTACCAACCAACCTTTGATAGTGATCTACATCATTAAAAACTTCACAATACTCAACATCTAACTTAACTGTAGAATTCATAAGAGTATCAGGTGGACATGCACCAAAAGTCATAGTTTCAAAGAATAAGCCAAATAATACTTCCGTTGGCACAAAAAAATAAATTCCTTCAACAGAGCAATCTCGATCTCAAGAAAGTACCGAAGAATACATAAGTCTTTTGTATGAAATGGCTTGCCAAAATGGACTATGAAGTGGGCGATACCATCTAAGTCATTATCACTAATGATAATGTCATCAATATACACAATAAGAATGATATAACTTTTGACATAACGTTGCATAAAAACTAAACAATCTGAAGTGGAATACTGAAAACCATATCGAAGTACAATGGTACTGAATTTATTAAACTAAGCACGTAGTGATTGTTTCAGACCATTTAGTGTTTTCTTAAAGCGACACACTAATTGTTCATTACCAAATACAACATAATCTCTATGTTGTATTATATATACTTCCTCTTGTAGGTCTCCATCTAAAAAAAAGATTCTTGATGATCTGCTGATACAAAAGCCAATCATAACTGATTGCAACATAAATAAGAGCTCTAATAAAGTTAAGACGGGCAATCGAAGAAAAAGTCTCATAGTAATCCACACCATATGTCTAGGTCTAGTATTTGACAACCAAGGGGCCTTCGAACGCTCAACCGAACCATCAGAATGATACTTCACTGTGTAGACTCAACACCACTGGCAGGTTGTTCACTAGAAGGAAGAGAAATAAGGTCCCATGTTCGATTCTCATGTTTTCATTTTCTCATCCATAACCATTTTTTAACCTAAGAGATGCTAATGCATGTTTCAAAGAGCTACGAACAACATAGAAGACAAAATCGATGTAAAATAAGGAAAGGATGAAGAAAGTAATAAAATTAGAAATGTGATTCTTGGTACAACTAAGTATCTATTATCAATGTAATAGGTAAATCAGAAGAGGATGAACTAGCCGATAGTTCAGAGGATAGGACCTCGATAAAATCAGACAATGCAATAATTTGTCTGTCTTTTTTTTTTTTTTGAACTGGAACCAGTTTGTCATTGGAATGACAATAAACTAGGATTGTCAATCAGGGAGGAAGAAGAAATACAGTTTGGTACAATAGGCAACAAAGGCTCTTGGAAAAGACTAAATTTTGGGAAAGAGGATATGATCTGAGGCAGAAAAGAAGGTAGAAGACTCAAAAAAGGTAACATTAGCACTAATATAGTGTTGGCATAAATAGGATCATAGTAGCGAAAATTTTTTGAGTATGAGAATATCCCATTTTGTTGGGATATATGGGTACATGTAATTTGATGGACGATACCATGGCCAACACAAAATGTATGCTTAAATGATTGAACATATTTAAGGGCATTATCAGAACGAAATATTTTAATACGTTTATCAAACTGTACCAAAATTTTATTATAAAAAGTAACAAATGTCTTGGGCAATTCAGAACGATTTATTATAAAAAATAATCAAGTCATATGAGAAAGATCATATACAAAGATCACAAAATACTGAAAGGCAGAAAGATTTTTTATTCTTGTCGGATCGCAAATGTTTGATCAGAGTGACGACTTTCATTACTACTAGGAAAACAACTACGATGATGCTTGCCCAATTAGTGACCCTCACATTCTAACATAAAATAAGAACTCAAATAAGGAATAACTTGACAAAACTTATACAATGAAAGGTGACCCAAACAAAAATACCACTAAAGTGGAGATACGGTGGTGTCAACAAAATCTTGTCCCAATATTTTTGGAGTTGGCTACTTGAATCTTGTTTCATTATTATGACCTATTAAGGGTCATGCCTTTTGTTGAACCATAAATTGTCATATCCTTTTTACTATTTCATTTAAAGTTAATTTTGATCCTCCTCTATTCCTACGCTTAACGTCAATAGTTATCATCTTACTCTGTCATTAGTGTCATACATCAAAGTCAATTCTCCCTTAATCTATATCTTATAGGTGCTACCTCTACTTTTTCAAAGATATAATCGTTTCTAATTCTTTCTTAGTTTTACCACATCTTAACATTCTCATTTCTGCGATACTCAATTTTGGAATATTTTGTTTCTTGGTTGTGCAGTACTCGGTACTATAAAGAAGAACGAGTCTTATTCCCATTCTATACAACTTTCCTTTTAGCTTAGGGATATGAATTTATTGCACAATACAACATATGCACCCGTCCATTTAGTCCAACTTGCATTAATTCTATGAATAACATCGTCACCAATCTTACACACTATAAATAATAGACCCTAAATATTTAAAATGTTCGCTCTTCAGTATTTCTTGATCATCAATTTTTACTATTTCTTTTCTATAGCTTTCATTCTTAATACATTTAAGATGATTAACATGAGTTTTTTTTCCTCTTCATTTAGCAAGTTTATATATGCTTTTCTCCCTATCCTTTGTATCTTGTTTAGAGTAAAGATTATCATATACTTTGTACTTAACTTCAGTTACTCTCTTCTTTACTTCTTTATTTGCAATCTTATAATTTTTAAAATTTTGTTTGTTTTTAATTTTTTATCATNTTGTCAATCAGGGAGGAAGAAGAAATACAGTTTGGTACAATAGGCAACAAAGGCTCTTGGAAAAGACTAAATTTTGGGAAAGAGGATATGATCTGAGGCAGAAAAGAAGGTAGAAGACTCAAAAAAGGTAACATTAGCACTAATATAGTGTTGGCATAAATAGGATCATAGTAGCGAAAATTTTTTGAGTATGAGAATATCCCATTTTGTTGGGATATATGGGTACATGTAATTTGATGGACGATACCATGGCCAACACAAAATGTATGCTTAAATGATTGAACATATTTAAGGGCATTATCAGAACGAAATATTTTAATACGTTTATCAAACTGTACCAAAATTTTATTATAAAAAGTAACAAATGTCTTGGGCAATTCAGAACGATTTATTATAAAAAATAATCAAGTCATATGAGAAAGATCATATACAAAGATCACAAAATACTGAAAGGCAGAAAGATTTTTTATTCTTGTCGGATCGCAAATGTTTGATCAGAGTGACGACTTTCATTACTACTAGGAAAACAACTACGATGATGCTTGCCCAATTAGTGACCCTCACATTCTAACATAAAATAAGAACTCAAATAAGGAATAACTTGACAAAACTTATACAATGAAAGGTGACCCAAACAAAAATACCACTAAAGTGGAGATACGGTGGTGTCAACAAAATCTTGTCCCAATATTTTTGGAGTTGGCTACTTGAATCTTGTTTCATTATTATGACCTATTAAGGGTCATGCCTTTTGTTGAACCATAAATTGTCATATCCTTTTTACTATTTCATTTAAAGTTAATTTTGATCCTCCTCTATTCCTACGCTTAACGTCAATAGTTATCATCTTACTCTGTCATTAGTGTCATACATCAAAGTCAATTCTCCCTTAATCTATATCTTATAGGTGCTACCTCTACTTTTTCAAAGATATAATCGTTTCTAATTCTTTCTTAGTTTTACCACATCTTAACATTCTCATTTCTGCGATACTCAATTTTGGAATATTTTGTTTCTTGGTTGTGCAGTACTCGGTACTATAAAGAAGAACGAGTCTTATTCCCATTCTATACAACTTTCCTTTTAGCTTAGGGATATGAATTTATTGCACAATACAACATATGCACCCGTCCATTTAGTCCAACTTGCATTAATTCTATGAATAACATCGTCACCAATCTTACACACTATAAATAATAGACCCTAAATATTTAAAATGTTCGCTCTTCAGTATTTCTTGATCATCAATTTTTACTATTTCTTTTCTATAGCTTTCATTCTTAATACATTTAAGATGATTAACATGAGTTTTTTTTCCTCTTCATTTAGCAAGTTTATATATGCTTTTCTCCCTATCCTTTGTATCTTGTTTAGAGTAAAGATTATCATATACTTTGTACTTAACTTCAGTTACTCTCTTCTTTACTTCTTTATTTGCAATCTTATAATTTTTAAAATTTTGTTTGTTTTTAATTTTTTATCATGTTTTGTAGCATTCTCTTTTGCTTTTAACACACCTTGGACCTCATCATTTCACCACCAAGTTTCTCTCGCTAATGGTCTATTATCTCTTGCTTATCCAAAAACCTCAATAGATTTTTTTTAGTATGTTCTACCATTGTATTACGCATTAGATTTGTTTCATCTTCTAAATTTTACACTACTTTTTAAAGTATTTTATCCCTAAACAAATCTTTTCATTTTTCAAATTTCACCCTCTAGTTCTTGGATTTTCAATATCTTTTTTGTCTTATATTGTATTTCATAAGTACATCTAATACCATTATCTCATGTTGTGTGAGTAAGTTCACTCCAAGAATGACATTACAGTCTTTACATGGTCTACGATTCACTCATCTCATTAGGGAAAATTTATTTGACTTTTATTTAATCCACTTAAAAGTTCTTAGATGGTTATCCCTCTTTTGCAATACATATTTGCTATTATAAGATCATATGTCGTAGCAAAATCGACGACAAAATTTGCGGCATTGTTCCTATCTCCAAATCCATGTCCATCATGTACCTTCTCATATCCAACCCCATCCTTTCGTATGTTTAAAGTCTCCTTCTATATATTCTCTTTCTCCTATAAAATATATGAAATGTGCACTATTAGGTTTTATTGTTCTTTCATAGATGAAAGCGAATTGAGCTAAGAATGATGTGATTCTAACTAGAGGAATGGATGGGGTAGAGGTTAGGGATGTACTATCGAATTCCTTTCCCATTTCTTATTTAGGATTTCTGTTTGTCCAAGGCAAAGCCTCTTTTTGAATTATATGGTTACGAGGGTGGAGGGGAGATTAGCAAACTAGAAAAGACGATATATGTCGCGGGGAGAGTTAACTTCCCAATTATGTTCTATAAAAGGTTGTATACAGAGGATTATTTCCTTTAGACGGAGTACTGAAGGTATTTATTGGTGTCTTATAATATTTGAGCGAGAAAGTTGGCTTGGGAGGCTATTTGAGGAAGAGGAGATAATTAGAGTAGTCAACTACTCTATGGGTTTTTTTTAGACTAGGTAAGAGACCATAAATGAATATATTATGAGCGTTTTCATGAATTTTTTGCTAATTGGGTGGTAGGGAGAAGTGTAACCTCTACGGTATAACTTTTGTTTCTAAAAAAAATCTTTCCATTAAGATAAATGATTATATGCATGTTAGTTTGGTGACTAGTTTGTATTAAATAGTTTCTAAAGTGTTGTCTTGGAGACTTGGCGAGGTTTTAGGTGTAATAGTTACAATGGCTCATAGTGCATTTGTTATTGATAGAAAAATTTGAGATTTAGTTTTAGTGGCAAATTAGGTGGTAGATGATATTAGGAGGGAAGGAAATAAGGGGATTGTGTTCAAAGTGGATTTTGACAAGACATGTGATCGGGTAAGTTGAAAGTTTTTGAATTGTGTGTTGAGACCAAAAAATTTTGGAGAGATGGAGGAAGTAGATTAGAAGGTGTCTCTCTTCTTTTACTTTCTCAGTGTCAGTGAATGGTGAACCTTAGGAGTTGTTTTGATGCTTCCGGGGGATTAAGGCAAGGGATATATTATCTTTTTTTTTTTTTTACTTTGGCGATTGATGTTTTGAGTGAAAAGTTTTTAGAGCCGAAGAGGTAGATTTAGTAGAAGAGATAAAAAAAATAGCAGAAGGGATGAAAGTGGAAGAGGTGGATTTAGTGGAAGGGATGAAAGTGGGTGGTGAACATGTAAGTGTGTCACATTTGCAATTTGTTGATGATGTAATATTTCGCTTGTGTGACAAAATAGAGGGTTTGGAAAATGTGCTCCAGTTGTTAAAAGATTTTTGGTAAAGTATGTGGTTCATAAATTAATTTGTCCAAAAATGGAGCAGCAAACATTAATTTGGAGGATGAGGTTGTGAGAGAATTTTAGCAGGTTGTGTAACTCATGTGGCCCATGAGTTTTCTGGGTTAGCCATTAGGGGGTAATCGTAGATCATTTTGGGACTTGGTTGTTTTGCTGGTGGAAAGGGGATTAGTGGTTGAAAATGGGCATATTTTTCTTCAACAGGGCATATTACTTTTAAGTCTTGTATGATTAGTATTCCCATATATTATATGTCTTGATTTAGAATTCTACTTGGTGTTGCTAAAAGATTAGAGAAGATCATAAAAGACATTCTTTGGTCAAGTATGAGAGGATAAATGAGATCATTTAGTGAGTTGGATGTAATGTGTAAGCCTATAAATGAGTGGGTTTGGGACTTGATAATTTATGTATAAAAGTATTTTTGTTGTTGGTAAATGGTTATGGAGATTCCCTTTGGAACCTAATTCCCTTTGGCATAAAGTAATAAGGAGTAAGTATAGTCTTCATCAGAATGGTTGGGATACTAAATATGGGCATAATGCAACTCATATGAGTCTTGGAAAATTCATTGCAAATGTGTGTCATTCTTTCCTAACATTGATTCGCTCTAAGGTGGGAGATGGATCTAGGTTTCTATTTTGGGAGGTTAAGTGGGAAGGCCTATTAGCTTTAAGTGATGTTTTTCGTGACTTTATCACCTTTCTTCTCTCCATGAGGCTTCTATTTCTAGTTTTATTGTTTACTTTTTTTTTTTTGTTGGTGGGGGGGGGCGGAGGGAAGGATTCCTATTCTTATGATGTTCATTCTTTAGGTGTCTAAATGATAGAGAAGTGGAGGATTTGACTTTTTTATTCTTATTCTTTAGAATTTTCAATCCTAATATTTCTCATGATTGTAGAATTTGAATCCCTATCTTGTTAGTTATCATACTATTCTTTCTTTTTCCTTGACAAATTCATTAAAAGGTACAGAGCCCCTCAAAAGTCAAGGCTTTTGTTTGGTCTTTTGTGCTCAACAAGGTGAATACTAATGATATGTTGTAGGGGAGACAATCTTATAAAGCTTTGAGTCCTAGTATGTTTCAACTTGTATGAGACATGGAGAATCTAATGTCTATCTCTATCTATTTAGTCCATGCTTTTTTCTTGGGAGTTGTGGAATAAATTATGTAATGTGATTGGAAAGGTATGGGTTTGTTCGGCTATAGTTGACGAGCTGTTGTAGACTAAATCTTGGGGTTTTGGTAAAAGCAAAGAAACAAAGGTTTGGTGGAGTTGTGCTTTGATAGCGGTTCCTTGGAATATTTGTTTAGTGAGGAATTCAAGAGTTGTCAAAAGACATTGATTGCATTGCAATTAGTTTGGAACAGAGTTGTGTTTCTCACCTCTATATGGAATCTGCACGAATTTCAGAGGAGTATCTTTGTCACAACTTCTCGACTCTTTGTTTTTTATGGCAAATAGATTAGTGCAGATGCGAATGAATTTTTTCCAATGCAAGCTCGAGTAAGAAATTTAAGTATCAGTAGGTCGACTTAGTTCCATGCAAGGATCAAAATTTTATTTCGGTGCATGGTTTCGGTACGCTTGGAAACAGAAACGTTTCGATAATGTTTTAGAAATATTTTGGAAACAAGATGGAAACAAATAAAAATTTTGAAAATTTGTTTTCGAAACATTGGTCAAAACACTCTAAAATATAGATCGAAACACACCAAAATACTTCAAAATATAAAAATTTTGATATCCAATCAATGATTCGTTTCAATTTCCATGAAAACAAAAACGTTTCAATCGTTTCAAAATGAAATTTATTTTCTTCGTTCCATGCATATTTGGTCATATATTGTGATTATTATTGTTTTTTTTCTTTTTGGGGAGGGGGGGATCATTTGAGTTTAAGCATTAAGAAGGTGGGGTTATGTGTAGATGGTTGTGGAAATTTGACATGACATAAGATGCTTGTGGCTGAGGGTTGGGGAAATGAGATTATGAGTGCGGGTGAGGGGCTTAGACCTCTCGAGAAATGGGGGCCATAACACGTGTCCGATCGTCGAATGACCCTAGGAAGTTGTTGGAGAAGTTCACCAAGCAAATTAATATCATAGTGGTTGTAGTCCCTCCATCCCATGAAGAGAGACCCTCTTTCCTTTTTTTTGATGCCCCAAATTCATGTCTACTTTTGAAAAGATAAGCTGTTATATCCTTGATTTGTTCTCTTTATTTTGTATTCTTTATTCTTTAATAAAGTTTGTCACTCATCCAAAAATATTTGAGAACATTCCTAATATAGCTCAATCTTTGTTGTTGGAATTTCTTACATGTTCTCTTAAACATGAAAGAAACATTGAAGGGTAGTTTTGCCAGCCATTCTTGCACACCACAATGTGCATGTATAGTCTGTCACCATAATGTACAAGAAGAAACATTGGAGGGGAGTATTCCTGAGCTGGTTTTTTTACTAAGGTTGTTTTTATGGTTTTTTTGGTGTCAGGGTGGCCTCTGAGGGTTAGTAATGTGAAATATTTTTGCTAGTCTCCTAAGGTCAAATCTTAGATACCTGATAGCTCATGAGATATGATACATTCTTGTGCCTTTGTTTGAATTTCAATGCACGATCCTGAAGTTAGTCCTTGGGAATAACGTGACCAGGGAGGAGCAGATAATTGGGCTGGAAGTAGTGGGCAGCACATTGCTACCTTTGGTGGTGCCTTGGAAAGATTGAGTAGGAGAACAGTTGAATTGGAAGAGATGCCTATCCACCAGTGCTTTATTTTTATGATTTTTCAGAAGCACTCCCTTTCTTTCTCTCTCTCTGATGGTGTGCACACAGAGGGGTGTGCTTTTCTAGTGGTTCCTGTAAACTTCGTTTAACATTAGTTTCCCAAATGGGTGCTTTGGTGATTACTTGTTAAATTGGTTCAACTTTCAGCAAAATGGTTTCTATAACTCTGTGAAATGGGCATATGACAAGAACAATGCAGAGAAATTGTGGTTTCCTCTTTGGTTTTTCTTCTTCCTTTTTCTTTTGAAATTGGGGACTAAACAAGGATTAAAATTTCGTTTCGGTTCATAGTTTCGTTGCGCTAAGAAACAAAAATGTTTAGGAAACAAGACGGAAACAAATAACAAATTGAAAAATTTGTTTTCGAAACATTGGTTGAAACAACCGAAATACTTCGAAATATAGGAATTTTGATATTCAATCAAATGATTTGTTTTGATTTTCATGGAAACGAAAACGTTTTGGACGACCACTGCAACCCCCTCTTTGACTTCTGCATCAATTGTGTGAGTGCTGAAACAGCTTTGTAAACACTGATGGTTTAGTATTAGTAGTTTATTGCTTAACAAGAAGTCAATACTTGTTTCTTGCAGTGAAATACAACTCAAAAGCCCAAATTGGCTTTTTGGGCAGAGGAAGCATGAGCATAGTAACTCTGTGCCCAAAGTAGCTTCACATGATGTTGCAAATGGAGGGTCTCAAGAGGAGAAGGGAATAGATGGCTTATGTGACCTAAATTGGCTTTCGTCTATTGGTGACACCAATGAAGAGGATGTCTTCCAAAGGTATGTCTCATGAGAACCTGATCTTGTTTTTGTCAATAGAATATGTTTGCTGGTGGTATTATTCTTATCTAGATCAGTTGACATACTTTCTTGCTGGCATGCTTGCTTATTGGCTTTGATTACTAGAAACAAAGCTTAGGGCCTAACTTTAGGCTGACAAATCTAGTTAGAGCATCGAGTTTTACTTGCTTGTTTGCTTGGCTCATTAAACCTTCCCTATTTGCTGACATAAAAATGTACATTAAGTTTTGTATATCACTTCTCCTAATTGATTTCATTTTTAGAATCTGATGAAGAAGTAAGTGTCTTGATATCAAGAGTTGTACGGTGTAACAATTTTTAAAGCATCCAACTTAAAACCATTCGACATTGAGGAAGAGGCTCAAAGGCCTCGTATACTAGTTTTTGAGGTATTATTAAGCATTTAGGAGTGATACAGGCAAAAGTAGCAGTAGAAGAATGGAAAACTAGTTTCTGAGGAGACATTTCAAGCAAGATAATAATACAACAACTCTGAGCAGAGGCTGAAATTAAGTAAAAATGGGCTCCAAGAATGCTAATCCAACACTGGACCCTCAAGAAGTGGGCAACAGAAACACTAAACTAAGATGAACCGCCAAGAAACTAGCTATGAAAGCATTAAATCGAGCCAATCTGAGACTGAACTTGAAGAAAACAGACTGAAAAATAGTCAAATGGAGCTGAATCGGCCTAAAAATGGACTGATCAGCCTAACAAAGATCGCAGCCCCAGCTTCCAACTTGAATGATGATGCAATGAAGAACTGGTTGTTGGGAACAATTAAAAATGACGATGAGTCAGAGTATTAGCGGCGATGAAACCAAAAGGTGGCAAAAACGAAGGGATTACCAGCGATTCTGACAACTGCTTCGAAGATGATCGCAATCTGGTTTCTCCGGTGAAACGAAGAACGCCGGCCACATCAACACAGCAAGGCACAAACGATAGATGACTGAACTGAGGCATTTGACGAACTCAACAGCCACAATCGAAGACACTCAACAGTGGAAAGGACCTTTGATTTTCACAGCAACAAATCACTCCGCAACTATGGCAATGACGACATATCACGGCAATGAATAGTCAAAATTGACAACAGAGGCTAGACACGTGAAAGCTCCCAATGACGTCTCCTCTGTTCAACTACAGCAATACAAACAAGATTACGATGACGATCAACAACTACAGACTGACAACATCATCAACAACCAGTCATGACAACACCACAATCTTCAGCTCCCAAACATTGTCCATTTAGCACAAACTACATCTTCAAACACATCTTGAACACCACATTCTGAAATCAAACAATAGGGCCCGCAATTGAAGACTCAATCTACTGAGATTACGGTCACCACACTTGAGAGAAGGACATGAAACCGACAGAAGGAAAAAACAAAGAAAACTTATGATGAATTGATCGTCGATGATAAATTGTTCAATATCTTCATCTTGTTGATGAATTATTGATCAATTGTGATGAAATGACAATATTGGTTTTTGTTTTTGGGATAATTTGTGTTTTTTTTTTTTTAGAAAATAATAGTTTATAGTTGATTTTTGAAAATTAGTTTTTGTATTTATAATCACGTGGCATTGTATGATTGGATGTTGTAAAATTAGCTAACAATGAACCATTAAAGAATCTTTCACATTTAAGGACATTATAGTCATTTTGCTAATTCTATTAGATTACTAGGACAGAGGTCACCGATAGGGGACGTCAGTGTTATTATCCATACCTGAGCAGGTCTACTGGATATTTTGACAAACGTCAGGAGAGGTGTATGTAATCAACCCTTTTTAGTAAAGACGTGTATGTTCACCTGACCAGTTGAGGGTCTTTCGAGGTGTGATGCTTTGTGCTTATTTCTTGGGCTGTTAGGGCTTTCTTTGTTGATAGACTAGCTTTGTGTTGAGTAGCTTTCTTATGGAATATGTTCCATGTGGCTCTTACGCCATCGCTAATCTTGACTCATATTTTTATTCAAATTTGAGTTAATTTTTGAGTAAAATGTTTGATTTGATACTAAGCACTCCAACGGACAAACACAAATTTAAAGGAGAATATTCTCAAATTTAAAGGACCGTAAAATATGACCATTGGATATTTAAATGATGATGAAATCTCACCATTGAAAATTTGAGTAAAGATTTGAATCTCTTTTGATTTGAGTAAAAATTTGGGTCTCTCGTTTGGTATTACTTTTGAGTAAAATGTTGTTATTAGCCTATTTTTACTCATATTTAAATTTGAGTTAAGATTTGGATAAGGTTGGAGACTTCAACAATTTTCTCTATTTGGTTAATGAACTTCATGTTCACCTACCGAGGACAAAAATCTGGTTGACTACTCTAGCTGATTATGCACTGAAAGGGAAGGATAAAAGCCTAGGGGGAGGTCTGGTGTCTATGAGATAGAGTTTTGGATCAGAAAATAAAAAGATTAAGAACCAATGTAGTTATGATAGCAAAAATCAATTGCAGAAAAGTAACGAGGAAGATAATTTTTCAGACATCTTACCTCCTTACCCCTATGTTAGGATGCATCTGGTTGGCAGATTATATAGAAGGCAGATCATCAACTATTAGATCCAGGACTTTGAACAAGACACACATGACATTTAGACTGTTATGAACACCATAGACCTATTATGAACAACATCTTTAGACCATTTGGCTTAAATAGTCCCATTGGGATCCATATTCTCACTGCAGCCCGTGTGGAACACCCATGGGGTTAGGGTTTCAAGTATGGAGAATGTTGTAGGCCTCTTGGATTGGAAATGTACAGAATTGGCTGGTTCCCTAGTGTATAGAATGTTAACAAAAGTCCTGGCCAACTATTCTTGTTGATTATGGATTCAAAATGAAGGCTAAAAGGGTATAATGTTCGTGTTCATGGAATAGGGTTTTAGACCAGAGAATAAAGAAAGTAATATGAGGCCTCATGCACTTGGTATGCCTTTTTAATAAAGAAAATAATATCTAGTTATTGTTATTATAGCAAAATTGAATTGCAGAAAATAAAAGAGGAGAATTCTATAGAAATATTACCTCCTTAACCCCTACGTCAGGATGCATGAAAAGGCAGATTAGGTAGACATTCATGGGGTACATGACAAGTCAACTGCTAATAACACTACGAAACTTCTGTGGAATTTGGACCATATCTCAAGGCCCATTAGCATCAGTAGACCCAGAGGTACACATTTTTTCACTGGAGCCCAAGTCAATGTTTATCAATGTTACTAGAATACCCTTGCCTTCCAGAACATAAGAAAGTACGATTGGACCTATGTCGCCACCATGTAATTTTTAAATCAGGCGGAACTTGATCCAATCATGTACTTGATTGCACTAGTTACAAATATGCTGTCTGAGAAATTCCCAATAATGCCTGTGTTGGGTTATCTTTTCTCAGATCTTTCCCTCGTTTTGTGGAAAAAATTAATAGTTATTTCTTGGTATATCATATTTTAAGGCAACTGTTCAGTATGGTCTAGAATGTTGCTAATCAATGATGCACTGTGATTGGCACCTTTTATGTAGATACCTTTCAATGACATCAGTAGACGAAGGCAATGGTTGGTATGGTGGTACATTGCTCGGTGATCAAGATGAAAACAGCGAGATCTATAGGCATTATGCTGAACTATGCCAGGTAATGAAGACAAACTGTCTTTAGTAAAGTTTTTGTAATTATAGTAGGCCATATTCATCTATGTGGAAATCATTTACTGAAGAAAAAAGACTTTTCTATGTTTGGATGTGGCAAGAAAGTTTATTGCACTGGTTTCCCTCTATTTTGTCACAATTCTTTTTTTTTCCCTGAATAATTTGAAGGAACTTTCAAATTATTTATTTGGATGTCTGTGTATTAAGTCTTAATGTCTCTGGACTGATCGCTGATTGAGGGAGCATTGGGATGACTTACTGGCAGTGTATTGGATAGGTGTTGAGTAACATTGCAACAACGTGCTACATAGTAAGCCTTCAAAAAAAATGGTTGTAATAAAGAAAAGATGTCGTCTAAAGATGTAGCATTGTCTGAAAGATCAATCAATATACTGCAGACGTAATTCTACTACAGTTAATTTAGGTAAAGTCACCAAAATACGCAATTGACATTGGAAATTTAACTATTTTCCATTTTAAGGCCATGTGATTGGGATGGATACCTTCAGTTGTTTTTTCTTGAAAGGACAAGAAAAAGAAACTGCCATGTGGGTCCCACTAATTCTTCAAGGGTGACACCAGCATTCACATTGGTTGGAGTCATGCTTAGGTGGCCTGATTAAATTGAACTCATATGGTTCCAATACTTTGGAGTCAGGAAATTCAGGTTTTTTCTAATCAGGGTTTCTTGGAAGCTGATCAGATAGATGTTAGCATTTCTGAATTTGTATATTGTCCAGGCTTTTATGGTAAGTATTGTCCTGGTTTGTAGTTGTTTGATGAGCCCAAATAATTCGTTTGTTGCTTGAAATTGATTAAGCCATTTTTCTAGTTTGAGTTTATATAGTCTGTTCATTGTGTGAATTAGGGAGGTGTATGTATTTGTATCAGTTAGTCTATGTAGGGATGTTTCTAACAAACTGATCAATGGATTTTTTTGGCAGTTTTGCTATCTTTAAAGGTTGAGACACCATTCGATTTCTTTTATGTGACACTAGAAGCCCTTATGGTCATTCTAAGGTTTTTGTTTCCCTAGTTCATTTATTCTTTGTCTCGGAAGTATGGATATGGAATACAAGTACAATACGTCACATACAGAGCGATATGAATATGGCCAGGCTACGTCTGACAATAAAACATATTTTTATAATTTTATTGTCATCTAACAATTTGATTATTTTCAATAATTTTTTATACAATTCAAAAAATATGCGAGTTTTACTTTCATAGAAACATACTCGTCTCATTGTGGTGGTCATAAAGTAAGCGTGGCTAATTAAAGAAATTATTATTATTTTTTTTAACACTTTTACCGGGGAGGGGACGAAGAGGTTTGAATCCGCGACCTTTAGGTCCAACAGAGGGGTGGTGGTCATTAGGTCAACCACTAACCTATATTAATTAAAGACACTACAACCAGCAGTTAACTAGTTAATTTTTTGTAGTAGATAATACTTAAAAAAATACTCACTTCTCTTCCAAGTTATACGAACTTTTCTTTAGGTATGTTAATATATGTAAATTCAAGAAGAAATGGGGAGGATTAAAATTATAAATTCCACATATTGCTTTGTATTTATCCAAAGCATTTTCATCTTGGATACCCTTATCAAGATGTATTCATGATATGTTTCCAATACATATCATCGGGTAACCACAAAGTATCATATCGGATGTGGATGGTTTTTCTTCAATTCTCCTTCTTGATTTTGAAACTGCTTGAATAATTTAGTACCTCATCAAATACACTCATCAGACTATTTTTGTCCCATAATCTCTAATTTTTGATCCCATAAACCTTAAAGCTACCCTACCCTACTATTCTAGCCTTTAAACCTTGCTTTATCTCTTGCCATCCAGAAGTTCTTTCAACTCCATTTATAGTGCCTAAAATCGAAACCTTGATCAAATACCCTTGGTATTAATGTTTTAACCACCTAGTAGATCATAGGACCGTGAGTTTAGGTTCAGTCCATCATCACCATGTTTCCGTTCATTTGAATAAAGGAACTTTGACACTATAGGCAGATCTCCTTCAAATCCAACAAACATTTACAAAGTGATGTTTTGAGAGCAAAAGGCAAGGTTTAAAGTCTTTGGTTTAGTAGAATGAATGTGACAATGGTGAGGAAGAGAGAGAATGAGAAAAGGAGTTGACTTTGAGTAATTTGGAGGACAAAACCTTTGCTTGGGACGACTATGTGATGATATCATCTTTCATTTCTATTGGATTTTCAAAACCCGCCTGTAATAGATATGGTGAGGGTTGATTTCTTTGGACCCGTTCAAGTTGAAGGGAGGGTCATCAAGGGGACGCAGAATTTTGATCTTATCTATTTGGTTGCGAAGTTTCTTTTGAATAAAAAATGTGTTGGGAGCCTTGGGAAGATGGTTTAGATGGAGAGGTTATACCTATGCCTCTTCTTTATCAATATGATTCCCATCATTCACATTATCTGTTAAAGTAGATAGGGGCAAGGCACATCTTCCACTAAAGATGTTCTATCCTCCACTTCTATGTGTCATTAGGGAAAATATAGATCAACTAGTGCAAGGAAAAGAAGCCACACGTAGAGAGAATAGAAGAAGAGAAATCATATGTGACACTCTAATATTTCATAATAATGAAAAATGAGCACAAGATACAATCTTCTAGCAATAGGATCATAACAATGATATCTTTTTTATTCCTCACCATAATAAAGAAAGATACACGTAGCAGAACGAGCAAATGATTTATTGCATTCATCGCAAAGAAAAGTACTTTGGAGGTTTTCCACATAACTGCTCAAGAGGCGAAAGACCCGAAGTAATAATAGAGGGAATATGATAAATGCGATGAACAACAATGAGAACAGCCTCGCCCCAAAAGGAAGTGGGAATTAACGCATAAAAGAGCAATGAGATGGGAGTCTCTATCATGTGTCTGTGTTTTCGCTCATGCTCAGGAGTGTCTACACAAGAAGACTGTTGAATTGTACCATCAAATTTCAAGAAGTCAAGAAAATAATTGTGTCTGAATTCTCCACCCAATTCACAATAAAAACATTTGATGACTGAAGAATATTATGTGTGAATCATGATACAAAAATGGAAAAAATAGATAAAAATTCAGATTGTTGTTCCATGAGATAAGTCTAACAATATCGAGTACAATCGTCAATGAAAGAAACATAATACTGAGATTTCCCGTTTGTGGCAATGGGGACAGGACCCCACACATCAAAATATAAAAGATCAAAAGGAGCAGAAGAATTGGAACTACTCTGAAAAGATAAAGAAGTGAATTTAGCAAGTTTGCAAATACTACAATCAGAATTACCATGACTATTTAACTCACCTAATGTACCAATAAAATAAATAAAACCCCGATGACTTAGGACTCAAATGAAAAGAAGACAAATCATCAAAAAGAGTCACAATTGGAATATGTAAGTTTTCTAGGACATTCAGTCCTCTAACTCACGGCTTGACCCCATCAACTTCTTAGAATGGGGATCCTACACAATATAACCACTAGAGAAAAAGTAAATAATGAAATCAAGATTACAAAGTTGACTAATAGAAATCAAGTTCGAAGATAATTAATGAATAAAATAAACATTAGGAAGAGGGAAGAGTGAAGTCATATTAGATCCAACACCTACCAATGACATTGGAATGCCATTAGCAGCCATTAACACTAGTAGGGGAAGGAAGAGATGAGATAGAAAGAAACAAAGATATATCATTAATCATATGATGTGTCGCACCTGAAACAAATATCCTAATGGAGCGAGATATCCTGAAAGAGTCGATGATGACAAACCTATAGGAGAAGAAATAAACGACGCATCCACATATGATGTATTTGCTGAATTTCCATTTGCCATAATAATAAGTATAATTACAGATACTCATCTTAATCAAGGACCAGAGTAACTTGAAAATTTGGGGTCAATGCTGAAAATTTAGAAATTAGGGGCTGATTCTGCAATTTCAGAAAATTCTGGACAAAAAATTCTGGGACAAAACTGTAATTTTAGGAATATCCTAGGGAAGATTCTATAAATTAAGCACATTCTAGGGCTGATTCTGTAATTTCAGAACATGCTGGGGGCAGATTTGTAATTTCAGAACATCTAACCAAGCAAAGCCAGTAGCAGCCACAAGTCCAAAAAAAAAAAAAAAACCCTAGCTGCAACGCACTGTTCACGCTATATTCCTTGGTACTGTTACACCGAGTTTAACCTATCAACAAATCTCTTCAATAAACAAGGATTTCAACGATGCAGCAATTTGAACGTAGTTGGGGCTCAGGCAAAACTTTGTGACAACAAACAATGAATGCTTTGTAGAAGAAAGATGAATGCAAAAGTATCAAACCTTGATTTTACATCATGAAAACATTGATCAACTAGTGCAACGAAAAGAAGCCACAGAGAGAAAGGATAGAAGAAGAGAAAACCCATAATGAAAAAGATTAGACTACCCTTACTGATAAATAAATATAATTACCATCTTAACTGGTAATATCAATTTGTTTTTCTTATTCACTAGCGCACTACACGACAGTAAGGAAAAATGCTAGCAATTTAGCCAGCTATTTACAGCCCCTAAATAGATGAAAGAGATTTAGGTATGGCAATCTTGTCTCCTATGCAAATAAGTGACTTCAAAATTTGTTCTGAACATTGTTTTGACACAGTAATATGTTGTTCATGCCCATGTGCATACACAGGAAAGCACATGCACACCCAAAAAAGGGAAAAGAAACTCAAAATAGCCACAAACACTGTTTTGGGGAGATCTGTCATGGTCAGTTGTGAGAACTTCAAATTTTTGATGTCTTGAATGGGATTCCTTGGCTTCCCACATTCACTGTGGTCTAATTGACCTCAGTGAGGACCATAGGGCATTCCCCAAATTGGTGACCCACATGACCAGTCACCTGCCTGTGTTCTTTGGCTGACTGGAGCCAGTTGACATTGCACATACTTTGTCTTGCATAGAAAACAGATTGAATATGTTTGAATGGTCTGCAAAGCTCATGACTTAGCTGCTCAGTGCAGCAAGCATACATGTGCCAATGGTAAGCCCTTTTCAAGCGTTGACGATATCATGATCAATGTCCGTTTTAGGTTTGACAATGTGAATGTCTTTGTTATGGGAGGATAATTGAACAGAAAAGTGTTAATAGTATTATATTTTTATGGTGAAAGATGTGCTGGGGGTCATTTTGTCTGTCTGTAGCTCTCTTCATCTGCAATTTTGGATTGAACAGGGCCCTGCAATGGAACCCTTCCAGCACGATCCTGAGAAAGAGAAGCATTACGCTGACATTCTTTGCATGGGCACAATTGACTGCATGGATGATGCAGCTGTTGAAGCGGAGATGGAAGCATCTCTCAAGGAGTATGACCAAATTGGTGCTGATCTTGGGATTGTCCCCAAGTCATGTAAAGCTTTGGCTGGAGATCCAAGCCAGCTGACGAGATGGATTATTGGAGAAGAAAGGATGCACAAAGTTTAAATTGTACCATCTTGCATGCATTCCTCAATTCACCTTTTTTTTTTTTTACCATGTAAGTTGTTTCATCCTTCTGCCACATCAATCCTGTGATTAATATTGGCCAATTGTATAGGTAATAAGTGGAGAGGTTCTAAATTTTTAGCAGAGGTGAGGATGCTCGTATATGAGTAAGGTTTTACAGTTGAAAATCCTCTATAGCTCTTGTACGGTGGACTGTATTCATGTAGCAATATTGATGTGATTTTTTTCCTTCTGTAATCTTCCTTGATGCTTTATTTTTCTGACAGCATTGGCATAATGGGTAAATCAGTTGAACAACTTGATGGTACTGATAATGGTTTGCTACTAGTTACTGTCTTGTACAGGGGATGGTTACAGAGAGGACCATTATGTTCCACCAGTAGCCCTTGGTGTCTTACATCTGAGCTTTAGCTGTAGGAGGATGTATATGGTTTAGTCCTGCGTTTCAGACAGCAGTTTCCTAAATGGGTATATGGCTTGCATAATTTGCACTCCATTTTTATTTTTATTTTAAATGTTAATGTTTATGTGAAAATTATAAATGGAAAGGCTTGTCTGGCTCTTTTTGTAATGAAGCTACAGTTTTCCACAAGTTGGAGTGTATGTGCTGTGGACATGTTTGTCAATGTTTGGACTGAATACGTTTTTGAAGCATTACCAATTGATTTTAGGTTGAGTGCACACTTACATTTGACCATTTTTGTTTGGTTTATCAACCAGGCTCCAAAGTGAGGAATGATGTGAAGAGACTGTACCTTACATCTAAAAGGTTTGACCATTTAAGGTTGTTTTAAATGGTTAAGGGGTCTTTCTGTCTCTTGCCAATTGATTTCAGGAAAGATTCTTTTAACGTGTTTTAGTGATTATTTCCTTTTGGAAAAGTAGGAATAGCAGTTTTTTATGGAGCGTGGAGGTAGTGTATGTAAATTTAGGACGTAGTACATTAACATTAATATTTTTGTTTAAAGTTTTGTTTGTTTTGGAATTATCTTTTCTTAAATTACATATCCCAGGTAACAGACGGACTCAAGTTTTTTGGAAAAAAGATTGGATAGCATGCTTGACTAAGGGAGAAAAAGCAGGACTCATTTGGAATGTATATACGAGGATGTGTTGTACCTATACTCGAGGGGTGGGGGTTAGTTTCACTTTACAAATCCATTCTCAACCCATTAAAATTTTTATTATCAAATTACTAAGTTCACTTCTTTTATATTCACTTAATTAGTAATTAAGTTCATCTCATGTTATATACACCTCATTAATAAGTAATTAATCTTATATTATTTCGTAATTAGGTTTCATACACTCTATGTGAGGACTCATACAAAAATTAATTACTAAAATGTTAGAGTTAACTACTTATTTAGCCCTTAAACTATATAAGTTTGTGTCAATTAATTTCCTCAATTTTGGTTTGTGTCAATTTAGCCTCTCAACTTATCAATTTATGTCAATCAAGCCCTTACATCTAATTTAACTGTTTACTGTGACGGACAGATGCACGCATGACTTACGTGAGGCAAGTTCTAGGAGTAATTAAGGGAAAAGAAAGTATTTGGCTCAATTGTTCGTCTCTTCTCTTACCTCCATCCGATTTCATCCATTGTTCATAAACCCTATCTTAATCAGTTATTTCTTTGTGCTTTACCAAAACGATGTCTTGGGTGTTGCGACCTATAGATCAGTTTTTGGATCTAGATAAAATATATTGTAAGTCATGATTCTGAGTTTTTTGAATAAAGAAAAATATTATATTATTTGATTTTTGAGTTTCAATTTTCTGTTGGTGTTGAAAGATCTACCTTTTGTTTTTTTGTCTTGTATTATATGTTGATGTAAGTGGTCTCAGAAGTTTGATTACTAGTGCTTTAGAATATTAGAATATATTTTTGTGAGTGGTCCTAATAACAGAGGTCCCAATAAAGTGTTGTAATTCATTTGTTTATGTTTTTACTTTAATTTTGCATGATTTCAGCCATATACTCTACTCTATTCAGTATTGAAGTACACCATGGGGTGAGTTTATAAACATTCCATATAAGAAATACGTGGGTGGTTCTGTTGTGTACATTGACTGGGTTGATGGAGATAAAATTTCGATTCCAGAGATTCATTGCATGGCCAAAGAGATTGGGTGTGTTGATGTAAGGGCATGTTGGTATAGAGTTCTTGCAATGGACATCATCAGTGGGTTGAGGGTTTTGGAAAATGATATAGACATTATTTCAATGGTGGAATGGATACCAACATATAGAGTGATTGAGATATACTTAGAGCATGAGGCAACAATAGATGAAATACAAATCCAAGTGCAGTCAACCACTAGTGATAGTAACTTTGATCTTGATAATGCTTCAACAAACTCTGTTAGTAGTTCAAAATCTGCAAATAACACTAATAATGAATTGAATGAGAGATGAGGTGTCGATTGATATGATTGTTGATAATGCACCCAAGTGGAGTGGTATGAGATCTAACCAGAAGAATGCAGGGGTTGATGATTATAATGTTGTTTCAGAGTATGAACTTTCTGACGACATCAGGAGGCTTCAAACCTCATCTGATGAAGAAAATCATCTTCACAAAGGGAGGCATCCTGTTTTTAATTTAGATAAGCACATGAACAATCCACAGTTTGCAGTAGGTTTGTTATTTGCACAACTAAATATTTCAGAGACGCTGTAAAGGAGTATTCCATATTTAATAGGAAGGAAATAAGCTTTGTGAATAATGAGAAATGGAGAGTTAGAGCCAAGTGCAAGCCACCATGTAAATGGATGGTGTTTGCATCTAAGATGCAAGGTTGCAAGTGAAGAGTTTGATTGATAAGCATATCAATTGTAGACCAGCATTTTATAACAATAATGTGACATCAAATTGGTTATCCAAGAAGTATATGGATAACTTTAGGTCTAATTCACAGTGGCTAACAAAGTCTTTTAGAGAAACTATCCTAAAGAATCACTCAGTTAGAGTATCAAGAAGTAAATTTTATAGAACAAAGTCAAAGGCTAAGGTTCTAGTTGATGGCAATCATACTAAGCAATACAAACTTATATGGAATTATTGTAAAGAAATCAAAAGGGCAATGCCAGGATGTACAATGGTTGTAGATGTGGATGACAACATTGGTGGAGATGAAAATTCAAGATTTAAAAGATTATATTGTTGTTTGGGGCCACTCAAGCAAGGTTTTATAACAAGGGTGCAGAAAAGTGATTGAACTAGATGGATGTTTTCTGAGAGGAACATACACAGGACAGTTGCTGTCAACAATAGGGGTTGATACAAATGACGGGATGTACCCTTTTGCATATGCCATAGTTGAAAAGGAAACAAAATCATCATGGATTTGATTTGTACAACTAGTTTGTGCTGACATTGGGCTTGCAGACCAGTCTGATTGGACTATTATTTCTGACCAATAAAAGGTAATACAATTTTTAAATAATCTACATACATACTATGTTTGATTCTACATTCGAAAGGATACCAGTTTAATGCATTTTTCATTTTCCATTTCTAGGGTTTGGTGCTAGCAATTCATGACCTTCTACTAGACTGTAAGCATAGATTTTGTGCAGGACACTATCTCAAAAACTTCAAGAAAGAGTATAGGGGTAAGTTGTTTTCTCAACTGTTTTGGAAATGTTCCAAAGCAACCACTTTGGAGTACTTTAACAAATGCATGGGATATATGAGGAATGTAGATGAAGGTGCATTTAGGTGGTTAGATTCAGGTGTCCCACCTCAACATTGGTGCAAGGCATACTTCCCCGTTAGTAGAATCTGTGATATTTTGATAAACAACAATTGTGAGGTATTCAATAGTGTCATAGTAGAGGCAAGAAAGAAACCCATTATCACAATGCTGGAAAACATTAGAGTGTTGCTGATGAGAAGGATTAGGAAACATATAGATGACATAAGTAGACACCTTGGTCCATTCTGTCCTAGAATTGAGGAAAAATTAGATAACATTTCAAATGATACTATGGGCTACATTTGTGAATGGTCAGGTGGATCACAATTCCAAGTTAAAAGGTCATATGTTCAATTTGTTGTTGACTTGAGGGAGAGAACACGTGCATGTAGAAAATGGAAATTATGTGGAATATCATGTGCACATGCAGTTTCTGCTATTTTGCACCAGGGAGACAAGCCTAAAAATTATGTGCATGAATGCTACTCAAAAGAATCCTATATGAATTTGTATAAGCACCTGATCAATCCCATTAATGGACCTAACTTGTGGCCAAGTTTTGGAAAAAGGCCTTTGAATCCACCTAGATTAACTATTCAGCTTAGCAGACCCAAAAAACAGAGGAGAAGGGAGGCAGATGAAAGGAGGAAACGAGGGAAACGAGGGAAAGTTGTGATGAGCTGCATTAAATGTGGGAAAGTTGGCCACAATCGTAGAAGTTGCACACATGAAATAGTGCAAAAACAAAAGAAGAAGAAGATTGTAGCAGATTCAGCAACTGCAATAGCAACATGTTCAACAAATGCAGCAACTTCAGCAACTGCCTCAACACTCAATATCCCAAGTTCAACAAGTGTAGCAGATTCAACAACTGAATGCAAGCCATTGTTATAGGCTAGAGCAATCAGGAAAAAATTACCATTATGTTTTTTATCACTTTATTATCATTTCATTGTTACTAAACAGAGTACTAAATTGATTTTTTTTATCACTTTTAGATTCGAAGGAATACTAAGCACTCAAGTTGGAGCATTCATTCCACCCAGATCAATAGCTGGTGTCAATCTCAGTCCACCAACAACTAAAGTCACCCAATCAAGCCAATCTCAATTTAATCCATCAGCACCACCCAACTGAATATAGAGCTGCAATGGATGTAGAAAGTCTGATTTGATTTTTGAATGGTTGATGTATTCAACCTTTTGAATGTTACCAATGTTTATAATGGTTGATGTTTTGACAGTTGATGTATTCAACCTTTTTTGTGATTGGT